CTAGTAAGAATTGCATTAAAGAGCTCTCTAATTGAATTAAAGAGCTCTGCAATTGCATTCTTACTAGTAAGAACTGAATTAGAGAGCTCTCTAAATCAGTTTTTACTAGTAATAATTGCATTAAAGAGCTCTCCTAATGTAATTCTTACTAGTAAAAACTGATTTAGAGAGCTCTCTAATTTAATTCTTACTAGTAAGAATGCAATTGCAGAGCTCTTTAATTCAATTAAAGAGCTCTGCAATTACATTCTTACTAGTAAGAATAACAATTAGAGAGCTCTCTAATCGCAATTGTTACTAGTAATAATTTAATTAGAGAGCTCTCTAATTGTAATTGCTACTAGTACGAATTGAATTGTAAAGTTCTCTAATTAAATTCTTACTAGTAAAAATGAAATTACAACAAGTAAGGCTGGGTACAATTTAAGCTAAAACGGCTTGCCATACAGAGATGCTTATAGTAGTAAAGAAGGAATGTGGTTGTCATGGAATATTTTGTAAAATAGGAGAAAATCAATGAATTATTGAAACTGTGCAAGAACACAAACGCGAGGCGACTATGAAAAGAGAGAAAGAAAGTATAGGCAGAGAGAACATTCTGTTCAAATCAATAATTACAAAATGCAAGCATTTGTTTTGTTTAGCTTGAGTGTTTGAAATATTAAAACATTGACCAGCTCCAGCGTTTGGACATTGTTACAGACCTGATGATGTGGATGAGTGAAAGCTGATATAACGCACTGATAGATAGGCCTAGTTCTCCATCAAGTGATAATTACATTACAGCAGCTACACTTGATATCATCCTCGCTCACAAGTAATCTTATTAGGCGATTGTACACATACAGAACGAGAGCGAGAGCGAAAGAGAGAGAAAGTCGAGGGATCATAAGAACATGTTCCCGTGTTTCTGGCTTGTAGTTTCCAATGTAGATCTATCTAGTACAAACTAAAATAAAATTAGATATATCAGATATCATAAGTATTACCATTCAAGCCACTGAAACGTACATCTGATTAAAGGGATATGGATTCGCCTTTCAAAGCCACAGGAATACTCCAGCACCACCTAGTGACGACTTTATGAATAAATCGCGTGAGGCTTCTCTTCTTCTGTACAACTGCTTGATATAGCCCTACGTCTACTGTAGTTATTTCAGAGTATGCCCTAAGGAGAATCAAACAAAAAATACTTTATATCCTATAAAATTTCATGATTTGTTTTCTCAAAATTACAAAGCAGTAGCTAACTACTAGCTACACGCGAAACAAAACCTCAAGTGGCAAATATGTGGAACAAACTGTGTTAATTTCGAGATATGATGTGAACCAAATAAGTGAACTAATGTAACATTTTACAGCAGTCACTCTATTAACTTCACGTCCACTAGGCTACAGCAGTGTAGGCTACAATCTGACAGCTGCAGTACAGTAATTACTGCAGTCGCACCCTGAGGCCATTGACCCGGATGTTGAGTTGACACTTTATGAATAGTGACTGCAAAGAAGCAATATTATAATTAAATCTGTGCCTTTTTGAGTAAATTAAGACATAGCACTTACCTGCGCGACTGTCTGTGTGATGTGTAATTAGCTATTTTCCTCTCTTCGTTCTGTTTTCCTCCTTGTTTTTAAGGTAGTTTTTGTTCTCCAAAGCACAAATGGAGGAAACGACTGAATTATGGAACTGAATTATTCATATTTAGATTTAGTTCAGTTGAGAGCATGACACATCATGAATCTATATCGAGCAAAAAGACTAATGCTGTGGGACAAAGAAAGAACTCCAATTAGCGATGGGCCCATCTGATGCTGAACGGGCCCCACACACCCCAGGGACCAATTTGGGCAGGCACGTGCCTGGTGGTGTTCGCTAGGTTCCCGCGTGTCTATCCAAGCACCAGACGCGTTCCTTGGTTGTCCAGGAAACGCACAATCCCACCATCTGTCACGGTCCTGCGCAGTGATCCCTGTCGTGTAACTGCGGCGCTCTAACTAGGGAGAACACACATTTATCTATTACCCGCCATTAACGACAGAGTGGGCGGAAAACAGGCATCTTTGACACGCCCTTTCAGGTCTTAAACACACCTTTTAAAACCTGGGTCCCATTTAATTTAGCTATAAGGTTTAATTTCAAAACAGCAACACAGAAATTAATTCGGAATGTAGGCCTTATATGGGCCTTTAAAAATAAAGGCCTCGCAAATTCGCAATATCAGCATTTCCACAACAGACATTTCAAATTAAAGATTATTTAAAATCTGCTTAGACCTGCAAAATCAAGCGCTCTTTGCATTTAATCGACGAAGAGAACAGAACTGAAGTGAAGTGATGCAAACTCATCCTCCATAACATTAGCCTACATTTCTCAAATATGGACATTATTGGACGCAATCACCTCTGATAACAGATCTAAATTGTAATGTAGACACATGCATTTTCTGTAAAGCTGCTTTGAAACGATATTTACAATTGTAAAAAGGGATATATCATATGAATTGAATAGCCTACATCTAATTAACATTTCACAGCAAAGATTGTAGATGCTAGATGAGTAGCTAGTAACGCCATCTGCTGGTAAGGCAAGTAGGCTAAATGAGTGCTTGTGGTTTTGGATAAAAGCATATTGGTTTAATCAACCGAGAGTAGGTAGTATGGAGGACCAAACCTCAGAAATTAAAAAAAATAATAAATAAATGAATAAATACGCGAATAAATAAAATAAATAAATAAATGACTATTTATACTTTTATTTCCTTATTTATGTATAATTATATATTTTTACACATTTATTTATTTTTTCATTTATTTATTTATGCATTTAATTATTTCCACTTTTATTTATTTTCACATTTATCTATGTATATATATGTATTTATGTCTACATTTATTTATTTATACATTTTTATTTATTCATACATTTATTTATTTATACATTTTTTTGCTCTGTATGCTAATGAGGGGGGCATGTTTTACCCAGGTTTTACCTCAGACATAGCAATCGAGCTCAGAGTAGCAGTGCTGAAGTTTTGAGGCCACAGTGACACCTTGTGGTGTGACCAAACAATACGCAAGAGGTTTGTGGACTTTACAGGTCACGCAGGAAATAAATGACTTAGAGATGGGCAATTTGGCCAAAATCTTATATCGCGGTTTATGTCCTTTAATATCACCCTAACTATATAGGTTTACCATACATAGGCCTACTCTTTATACCGGATATGGCCGTAAGTGGCGTAGGTTTGATTTTGAAATTGGTGGGGACGGGGACAACAATATATATAAATATATTTTAAGTTTTGATCGAAATTATTGCTAGGGATATATCGGTATTACTGGATATTCGCTGATTTCACGCAGCCTCTATTTTGAAATCGAAAGCGAGGCTCCGGTGGGAAGAACCCCGGAAGTACAGATAGACAACAATGCCTTGGACTACCAACCTGAAGCTGCTGCCGTGATTTACACTATTGGATGTTAATATCAAATTTAGGATATGTATATAATTCGTCCCTGCTCCTTTTTTTTACGTTCTGAATTATATATAAAAAAATTATTTTATTTATAAATGAATTTCACTGTATATAGTCTAAAGTATGAAAGAACTGTATGTACATTTTTAGAATAACTAATTTCTACATTAAACACAACAATACGCCATCGCATTCACGACTCTCCTATGATTAAAGGCGTCACTTCCGGTTTTCTTCCCACCGGAGCCATTTCAAAATGGCGGCTGCGTGAAATCAGCATATTGGTAGGATCCACAATGCATGGCATAACATGTGGTTAATAGTGGATAATTTGACCTTGTCAAAGTGTCTGTTATCAGCGGATTCTGTTCATGTGTGCCCAGACATTTTAGAAATCCCGACCTGCTGATGTTTTACGGCCGTGTCCGTAATAAAGAGTAGGCCTATGTATGGTAAACCTATAGGCTATAGCTACATACAGTTAGGGTGATACTAAAGGACATAAACCGTGATATAAGATTTTGGCCATATTGCCCATCTCTAAGTCATTTATTTCCTGCGTGACCTGTAAAGTCACGTCCACAAACCTCTTGCATATTTTTTGGTCACAACAGGTGTCACTGTGGCCTCAAAGCTTCAGCACTACCACTCTGAGCTGGATTGCTATGTCTGAGGTAAAACCTGGGTAAAACACTCCCCCCTCATTAGCATACAGAGCAATACATGTATAAATAAAGAAATGTATAAATAAATAAATGTAGACATGAATACATACATAAATAAATGTGAAAATAAATAAAAGTGGAAATGATTAAATAGCCTAAATGAAAAAATAAATAAATGTGAAAAAAAATATTTATACCTAAATAAGGAAATAAAAGTATAGTCATTTATTTATTTTTTGTTTTACATTTATTCACATATTTATTTGTTTGTTTGTTCATTTAGGCTATTTATTCATTTTTAATTTCTGCAGGTTTGGTCCTGCTTAAGTATGTTTGACGGTAAGTTTATCTTCTAGTCGGACAGAAATGAGCCCATATGCAAAATCATTCCACTGAAAAGTAGGCCTATAGGCTATATTTCCCCTAAAAATACATCCTGTTTCGTGTAATTCTGTAAGCCGCGAAAATGATGTATTATAAAACTACTAAAACTGTTTATAAAACTACAGTAGCCTATATTATTATCCCCAAAGAATTAGGAGAGTCTCGTAACCTGTAAACAAACTTGAAATTTACGGTTTACGTGAGCCTATTTGTTGGCGAAACATAGACATTTAAGTTTAGATGGGACTAAATGCAAATAATAGCCTATATTCGTTCTTTATGTTTTGTCTTTGTAAAAAAAAAAAAAAAAAAAAAAAAAAAAAAACTTTCTGCCCAAAAACAATTGGAAGCTAGTGTTTGTGTAATATCTGGCTACAAAATTATGATCACAGGCGTGCTGTTAAACACGTCAGGGATACTCCGTGAATTTGCACTGCCAGTGTGTAAATGCAACTTGACACCGAGAGTGTGTATGGTCTGGAGAGAGTGAAAGTCTTGACAGTGACATTGTTGGCTGATCTGCTGAGGACACAGAGGTAGGCACTGTTTCATGCTTTTTTTTGTCTTAAGATGCACCTATAACGCGATAACATAAAACAGAATTTCAATATGTTATACTACAATTATACATCCGTTTATTTACATAAGTTAACAAATTAATCGTTTCGTAGCCTATATTTTAAAAACTCGAAACTTCACTAGCGGTCATTAAAGACAAGTGTAATGTAATGAGTGCTTTTCTCCGATCTGAGGCCAGATATTTATCGTACAACTCTTTTGGTGAGGTCACATATACAAATCTGTAAATAAATAAAATAGTCTTCATCATGAAGTTAAGAATTAGTTTCATGACAAGTCCTACTTGTATGATGTAAAATTATACAGCTATAGAATTTTGTATCCTAGTGTTTTATGCACCCCAACAAATAATTGCCATACATTTTAGGGCCACATTTTCATCTGTATAACGAATCTTAAGTCTGCACTTATAGAAAGTTCATTAAGGCTGTGTATTTTCTAAGAGTGTGAAAAGGTGTTTGTTGAAGAGCTTAACCTGGCCCAGATCTCTTACTTCTGGTGCCTAGCCCAGTAATCTGGACTTAAACTGCAAGAATGGGGAAGGATGAGACATTTGCTTAACTATAGATAGTTCACCCAAAAATTAAATGTAATAATTTATTTGCCCTCATTTCATTCCAAACATGTTTGTCTTTTTTTTTTTCTCAAGAGAAAGATCAGTTTTGAAGAATGTGAAAGGTGACCATGGACAAAAATCACCATAAATGAAGTTCATACTGCATTAAATTCCAAGTATGTCTATATTCTATTCTACACAATCTTCTAAGTGTTGTGTAGTCATGATAGCTTTTTGTGAGGAACAGATTGAAATTTAGGCTGTCATTCCTTGAAAGTCTTCCCTTGAAAATCTTGCTTCATACACGGCAGTATTCACCATTCACCCTCACTACATTGAAAATATCCGTTGTCTGTTGTAAATAATTGCTTATGGGTTCAATGGAAGAAAGAAAGACATGAAAGGGTGAATATGATGATCACACATTTGAATTCATGAATACATATACATTTTTTGGGTGAACTGCTCCTCTACGCAATTGCCGAACTTTCCCTCTGGTTCAGATATGTTGACCTTTACCATGAGGTAAGGTGAGACCTATGGGGTAAGACAAATCTGAACATAATTATTAAAAGAAATGATAAAAAAAAAGTTTAATATTAATCTAATATGTTCACATATTTTGGCAGATTTTCAGAAACAAGACAACAGTAAACGCACAAAAAAACTATTAACGTGTCCATCACATTCACAGAGAGCTATATCCTTCCTAAATATTTCATCACCTAACAAAAATTGTACACAGTTTGCTAAATACAGAGGGTGCTCATCTTTCACTCCAAATCATGTTACCCCACATTCCCAATGGCTTGAATGAATTGCAAGTTTCACTTACACTGTTTGTGGTTGTGATCCACTCGCTATAAGCAATGTCACTTTTGCTAATGGCGGTTTCTCAAGTTTCATTGAAATGTAGACCTTTGTAGTAGAAAAATATGTTGAGTGTGCTAACATTCTCACTGATATTGTTCAGCTTTACATGCCATTCAAATAAACACAGAGTCTGTGTTGTTTTCACATGGATTTACTCCAGAAGTAAATTAGTTGCCGTGGGTGTTGCCCTTTCATGCTTTGAAGCAGAGATCTTTTCTTTACACTCAAATTCCTTGATAAAACAAGTACTCTACATTTTGCCTGTCAACCCAGTATTAGGTATGATAAATGTCAAGCCCTTTCTCTACAGTAACTCATGGCTGTAATTTAACAGAGGCAAGAGAAGCCAGACTACCAGGCCAGCAGAAATGTGATTTATTGTGTTGGACGTACCCTGAACCTGACACTTAGATTGGTATGGCAGTTAAAAATCATATTTTGTATCTGTTTTAGCTTGTATTCCCAGACGAGAGCTTTCAGCATTCATTAAGTTATTAACCAGAACATGAGTGGATGACACAATTACAGCCTGTAAAATTAGACCGATTTCTCTGTTTGATGAGGAGCTTGCACGCAAAATATCATTGGATGAGTGCAGTTGATCCTCTGTATCTCATGTGTTGCCTTGTGTCAGTGTGTATCAATGAATGTTCACACCTATCTGTGAGCGGTGAACTGGAGCATAAGTCTGTGTGTGTGTGTGTGTGTGTGTGTGTTTTACCGTTATGTGCATCTTGGTGTGTGTGTATGTGTGAACAAGCCTCTTTTTGTCTGTGGGTTTGGATGAAGACCTCTTCCTCTCCTCCTGTCTGAGTATGGTCAGGTTGCAGTGTAAGTGTGAATGTGGCACCTGTGTGCTGTAATCCTGTTGTGTGGGCTTCCCATGCTCCATCGGTCAAAGAGGCTCAGCCTTCATCACTGACACACACGAGGCCCTGGAGTTTAAGCCATCTTCAGTTCTTGCTTTTCTTTAATCATCCATTCTGCCGGTGCATGTCAGTTACCGCTGTACATTTCTGCATCGTACAAACAGTATGTTAAAAGAATAATGTCCGAATTCACAGTATTCATAAAACAGCAAGCAAAAAGGTACCGGTATGACCTACTTCCGGCGAGATTCTAAAGTGTGCATTCAATGGACACTTTACTATCCCATGAGGCCACGGGAGTGGATTCGTGATTACATCCATACACACATTCATGCTATATAGAACTTCCTTTTTTTAACAGTTGCAAAGTACCTAATCAGACAGTTTGCAATTTGGGACGCAGCCAGTGATTCATTTGTGAATTTGACTGCAGCAGTCGACAACTCACAGTTGGAGCGAGTCTCAAGAACCAACCTCTTATTTGATCTTGTCTGACTCAAAATGAGCCTCCTAATAATTCATATGTCAGACTGAACTTAAATCTATTTGAGCTCTATCCTATCTGTTTGACAATCTCTCTATTAAAGCATGTGGATGTTATATTATGTTACTCATTGTCCCTAGTGGGACACAAGGCATAAAAGATTTGCTTCCATTTAGCTCGATTATTTGTGGTGTGCTTGCACCTCTTCCCATGTCAACACTGTGCGTCTCCATGTTGTTTTAGGTCGACCTTGTTTTCTTCTGCCAGATGGTGTTCTCATCATGGCAGTCTTTGCGATTCGATCCTGGTCCATTCTGAGAACATGTCCAAGCCATCGGCTTTGACGACGCTTGATCTCAGGTATATACAACATATCCTCCTGAGGCATCCATTGTGAAAGGCGCTGATCTTGTTCTTGTCGCCCTCAGTAACTCGCCAGCATTCTGAGCCGTACAGCAGGACTTTGTGGTGGTGCTGTATGGACTAGATTTCCAGACCATCTTTACTCTTTAGTCTGGCAAATGCACCGCTAGCTTTTCAGAGCCTTGCTTGCATGTCTTTTTGTGCTGCATTATCCTTTCTGATGAGGCTTCCTAGGTATGTAAAGTTGTTGACATATTCCAGTGGTTCATTGTTGACCGTGATCGTTGCATTAGGGATGGAATAAATGCATATAACTTTGGCATTTGATGGGTTGATGTTCAGGCCCACCTGCATGGCAAAGCTATTCAGCCTGTCAGTCGATGAAGTATGTCAAATATCCACAAAAAAACCCCCAATGTTTCTTTTAGCACTTTCATGCAAATAAGTAATAGGCTATATGTTCTCAGGATATCTGTAGATTAACTCAACTACAGGATTTGTGTACTCTGTCTACCTGGATATATCAGCTTGTCATAGTCCTGGTCATCTTTGTATCCTCTTTTCACTCATTAGGTTTTAATGTTTCACCATCTTCTGTTGTGTCACCAAAAACATTGATACAAAAAACTAAGCTTGAGCACTTCTGGGAGATAGACTTTCTTTGCCTCTGATTTCTCCCTGCTCTCATGAAACCACTCTTAACATACCATCTCATCGCCCATCACTTTATGCTGTGGAGGACAACATCTAATAGTGTCAGAGTTTATGTCTTAATCTCCTCTTCCTCACCATCTCACTCAAGAGCTTCAGGTCATCCAGCTTTAAAAAAAAAAAATGGGGGTTGGGGTGGACTTACATTTACCACTATTTCTCTCTGCGCCTGTTTCAATTGCACACATCTGCCCTGCAGGTGTCTACACTCTTTCCTCTGCCTTACAAGACTGTGGCAGTTATGGGAAACAGGGGCATGTTTCTACACGTGAAAGGCCCCTCTGATGAATAGTGCCTGAGTAGGGGGGGAAATTACAGGACAGAGCATTCTTCAGTTGCTAAGAATTGAAGTAAGACTTGAACATTAAATCCTCCCCTGAGTGAGAGTGTGTTTGAGCTGGTATTTGTCTGTTTGTGTTTGCCCTTTTCTCCATCCAGTCTAGCATGACAAATCTTAATTCCATCATTCTAATTCTGTACCTAAAATTGATCAATTGTGAAATACCTGGCGGCTGTTACGAACTGCTCCGAGACAAGAAGGTTGAGATCCAAATGCAGTTTATTAGAGTAATCCAGAATGGGAATCAAACACAGGAAGGCAGTCCAAACAAACAAACAAACAAACAAGGGTCAGAGGCAAAAATCCAAGAACCAAGAGACAATGAAACCAGTGAGAATGCTCAGAAATGCAGCGCAACAACATACAAATCTTCGCAGTGAGTGATAGGGTGAACCAGGCTTATATGGGGTGAGCTAAACAAGAAAATGAGATACAGGTGAATGTGATAATGGATGAAAAGTCCAGGCAGTGAGTTATGGAAAATGTAGTTTGTGAGGGAATGACAATAGTCTGATGTGGAGTGCCCTCTGGTGGCACCCAAGGGCACTCCAGCTGGTGACCGTTACAGCGGCAGTCAGACATGGAAACAGCTGACTTTGAAACAGTATTACACTGATTCCCATCACTATTTATTATTCCTGTTTGCATGTTAACAATATTACTATTTCCCTTTCATTGCTTCGGTCAGTTTTAAAGAACAGTTGAAATGAGGTAGATGTGCATCATTAGGTACAGTGTAAATCCAGCGGTGGTTTAGGTAAATTCAGACAGTGGCCCATATACAGAAGCATTGAGAGAACAGATGTTCTGCTATAATTCATATACAGCACATTTAATAGTCCATTCAGGACCATTCAGCCTGACCATTGCCGCATAAGGTATGTCAACATTTTTGGGGACTCAGTAAGATTTTTTTTTTTTAATTAACACATTAATTCACCAAGGATGCATTCATTTGATCAAAAAAATTTTTTTTTGGAAGTTTTATAGATTTGTTATGAACATTGAACATTCACTAACTCTTTTCTTTCCTTCTCTATCCTGTAGTCCACTACTTGAGTCAGTATGAATGGTCCCTTAAGTCCCAGGCGGGAACCAGGACCTGACCTCTCCTGTCTGCACCTGTACAACGAGTGGTTGGCATGTAGGCATGAGTCCAGTCTCCTGCCCATGAAAGAAGATCTGGCCATCTGGCTAAACAGGATCCTTGGTAAGAAAATATAAGTATATTAATATTTGCATAACTATTTGCGATTGCTGATTTGCGAACTGATAACGTTTAAGAGATAATTCATCCAGACATGAAAATTCTATCATTTACTCACCCTCATGTCATTTTAGAACTATATGATTTTATTTCTTCTGTGGATCACTAAAGAAAGATGTTTTGAAGAGTGCTTGTAACCAAACTGATTTGGTCACCATTGACTTCCAGTATATGGAGGAAAAAACCGAGACATTTCTCAAAAATACACTGGCTGGGCTCAATCTTTAGGGCAACATTGAGTCTTTTACAACAACCATAAATTGCTTTTGGCAGTTCAACACATGGAAACTTCTAACTAGATCTCAAGTGTGTCAAGGAAAGTTGTAAATGTAAAATTATAGCCATCCCTGGTCACCAATAGGCCCACTTGTTTAATTATCAGTCACAACTCCAGGAGAAGATGGCACTGTACCTTGTGCTTCCCAAATGCAATTTTCTGTACATGTTTTGGATTTCAGCTTTACTGCAGTGTCAGTAATTTAAGTTAGTTTTTCTAATTTGAGTAAAATCTTCTGACTAACAAGGATTCAAGGTTACCCTTTCTCCCATTCCCATTGCTTGGTGTCAGTTCAAAGGATAAAACCTTATTTACACAGTCGGATAAAATCTTGATTAAATCCTACACAAGCCCACAGATATGGATTATTCTGTATCTGCCCATCAGATCAGGAATATCATGGTGTTTACAGACAGCCATTTTAAATAGAATTCCTTAAATTCCTCTGCATCTTGGATCAATGGGACATGCCCTGATGGGACCTTAAAAGAGGAATTGCCTTTCTCAAACAGACCAGGATATGAGCGTCTTATACGAGTCCCTGCGTGTCTTGACCTTTGTTGTCAGAACCTCCTAAGACAACTGGGGGCTGAAGAGGTTTGATAAAAACAAAACACAACATGTAAAGAGATTAAAAAAACACACACAAAACCCTTTAGCCAACAGGCTGGTGGTACTTAAATATAAGTCAAGACACAACAACCTGAGAAATGAGATTAGAAGGGAGACAACATCAGAGTTGTTGTTTTCACCAAAGAAGCTGATGATGAAATCCATCACTGATTAACACACACTTCTCTCCCTCAACTCTTCCTGTTCCTGTTGATCTCAGGGCAAGCATTATGGCTTTGTGGTTGACGGACAGCAGGAGAACTCTTTGTTTCCCTACACACTTCTCTCTAACTCTGAGCTAATGATCATCCCCAGTCATTGTGCACATCAGGATTTCTGTTTTTGTTGTGGTTTCCCTCCGCCGTCACTTCCTGTATCCCCCCTCCCTAGGCCCCCCAGGCCGCCCACTTCCCCTTCACCGTGATGGTTGAGCTCCGGTACCACTGCTGTGTCTGAATCTGTATGTACTTAACACCCAGGCCTCAGGAATGTGTCTGCACAGCCGTGAGAATCTCAGAGCAAGTGTACTTAGAGGATTTTTGGGGCGTCTTCGAGTTGCCTAAGGTACTGAAAACTGATAAATAAAAGATGGAGAAGAGGATATGTAAGGAAGGTAAAACAACAACCATAAAACTTGTATTGTACTGTGTGTACGCCAGTAACGAACCGTGACTCTTGAACCTTGGCCCTCTCACCCCTTTCCCTCGTAGGAAAAAAATCCCTCAGCCTTAAATCAGCCTAGCTTACTGTGTCCTCTTCTAAAATATTGCATGTTACCTTTGACAAGAAAGGCCACAAGCAAACATCAGAGTGAGCGTGAGAGTTATCACCAAAATTAAACAAAAAGTAATAAAATGGAAATCATCAATACAAAGTAGTACTGCATCATCACACAATCAGTGTGTCATTTCAGTGGAATATGGTGACAACTGGCCACAAAACCAACTAAATGTAATGTGAACGACGCATCATGACAGCGCTCAGACCAAAGCACATTAGCGACAGACATTTCCTCATATGTTGATAATTAATCATATCATTAGACTGGCACAGCAGCCGATTAAATGTATGTAACAGACCGTATTAAACTTATGATTTGGGAAAAATGTAATTATTATGCAGAATTAGCTACAGCAAATGTGCATTGTTGCTAAGTCTGTAAATTTACAGACTGACCAGTAATTCTGCAAAATAACTGTTTCCTAAACTAAGGGTACGTTTACATGACAACGATATGCTTAATACGGAGAAGTTTTTCCTTTGAGTTTTCCGTGTACAGACGACACCATTGTCAAAACGATCCCCATTTACACGGATGCTGGATGCTGTTACAGAAAAATGCTGTATTCTGCTGCCAGGCCGTTAGATGGCGATGAAACACGCATGTGCATGACATCATCCTTTTTCAGAGATTGGCGTTTTTGTTGTTTACACGGAGACCGTTTTCAAAGGTTTGCGTTTTCAGGCCACCAAAACGCCGCTGTCGCATAAAAAGTCTTCCGTTTTTAGTTGAAAACGGTATCATGTAAACGGCCCCTAAAGCTTGACATAAAACAGTGGCAGTGGCAGCGGCGGCCAGAATATAATCAGTCATGTAACCTATTAGAATTCAAATAACCCAAACAGCAAACAATTCCAGCAGTAAAGCTTTAGCTTCTTGATTGATTATGTCATCCAGTGTTATTGCTTATAAATGCTGGGATCGAAATGGTTTAAATAAAGCTTTGGCTTTCTGCACAAAATTAAGCTCTGGTGTAGGTCTTCCTCTGCCACTAACTCCAGTTTTTCTTTAAAAGTTAACCTTGAAAACGGCGTGGATGATAAATCAGCAACGATCTCCTCCTCATTAATGTTGCTTGCGGTTTCCGTAGCGAATAACGATCAGCGTTTTTTTTTTTTTCTCGATCGAGTTCCTCACAGCGAGCCAAACACGTCATAAACTTGATCATAGCACTCCCCACCCATTTAGAGGAAAGATATGATTGGTCATTTTTTCCTGTCATTTGAAATCAGTCTGTAATTTCACAGCTGGACCACCAATCACAGAGTTGAAAGCAGATTTGAAGGGTTTATTATTTATTTCCTCAAAAAGATTTAGATGTTTATTGTCAAGTTATAAATTCCTAAAATAACTGTAGAACTGCTGACTTTTTATTAAGAAAGCTTTTACTTTTTAAACGTTATTTAAAAGTTTGTAAATATTATTTTTTACATAGTTTAGGTCCTCTCGGAGGTTCCCCTTGTACTTAGTGTCACTATGCATTTTACAGCTACCAGTTCATCCACTACAATTTAATCAGTGCTTTTATAACGTCACTCTTTATTACTATAAGCCTATTGATCATTCTTTATCTCTCTCCTAATGTTCATTTGTCCCTCTAAATGCTTCCTGTACAGGTTTGGATATAACAGTGGATAACTTCATGGACAGACTAGACACTGGTGTTGTCTTGTGTCAGCTTGCAGAAGCGCTACAGGAGAAAATGATTATGGCCAGCATTGGCAAGGTGCTCATATTATGGGTAGTTTGATCCTAAACTTAATCTTAAGATGTGTCCTAAAATGACCACATAATAAGCTAACTAGAGTTACAATTTCTGTTGTGTTCATAGCCCTTTATTCGGCGCGTGGTTCGCTGGCGGCCTGATGCAGCCTCTGGATCGTTCTTTGCTCGGGACAATACAGCTAACTTTCTGTTCTGGTGCCGTAAAATTGGGGTGGAGCCATCAAATCTGTTTGAGTCTGAAGATCTTGGTGAGTATTTCAAAGCAGCAGCAGATTTCTCTTATCCTATCAAGGATAGTTTTTTTGTTTGTTTGTTTGTTTATGTTTAAGATATTAGCTTGTGAATACTCTTTCTTTGTGATTAAAGGTGGGGTAAGTCGTTTTTGAAATATGCTGTTGGCCAATGTTGACATTTGAAATTTGACAAACACACCCCTTCTTCATTGCTCCGCCTCCAAAAACGCACACTCCAATCCTAACAGCCCTGCTCTGAACCCTGATCCCCCTGCAAGCGAGTCGAGTGCACTAAACAATGACCGCATTCACTAGCAGTCATCAGCTCTGACTAACTGGCCTCCGTTATGCACGCAATCCAAGAGTGGATGTCTGTTTACAGAAGCTCAACAGAATAATGCTTCACGAAAAATAAAGCGCAGATGATGAACGAATGACAAGGAAGCACAAAAAATGTACGTACAGTACACAATAGTAATTACAAACAAGAGTTGGTTGTTAGTTGCCAACAGGACAGCAGCTCACGACACACGATGACACTCAAACCCAGTGTTACTCGCGTGTGGAGCGGAATCAAAGCAACCTCCGTGTGTTTTCAGGCCTTCCCACTTCTCTCTCTCCAGCGCTGGACAGCCTTTCTAATATTAATGCGGGTCCAAAAGTTCTTGCCCAGACATACCGTAACCCTTTATTTTCCAGTGATTTCTTCTGAGCTTTTCTCTTTTGTATTGTGTTTCATCTCTATTTCTGCAGTCTTTCTTCAGTTCAAATCTCCCTCTTGCTCGTTCTCTCTCCTCCTCCACCACCATACACCCCCCTAATGCTGATTGGCTGACACGTTTGTTGTTGTGTCAGACCGACTAAAATCCAAACAGCATATTTCAAAAACTACTGATCCCACCTTTAAGCTGACTTTTCTTTGGTTTCAATACAAGTGGCAATGTGCTTGTACGTCTGAGACTATTCACCAACAATCCTGAGAACTATGGACACATTTTCAGCACAGAAATACCCGTAATGTCCTTGCCCACTTTTACACTTATGAGATCATTAAAGGGTTAATTCACCCAAAATTTTTAATTCTGTCATCATTTACTCACCCTCATGTCGTTAAAAACCTGGAAGACTTATAACATTTTATATAAAAGGTTTTTTTTTTTTTTTTTTTTTGGTTGGACTAACCCTTTAAGTGAGATGTCCAGTTAGAACAGGGCTCAATTCCTCTGTCTCTGTGTCTATGCAGGCTGTCGTTCTGTGGGGCTGTGACCCTAAAGAACTGCTGAATAGCCCAGCGGTATCAATATCTGTGTCACTCTACTGTTCACAGCGTCACACCCTTGGCCCCTGCTGTCCATCACTGTGTGATGAATAATGGAGAGAAAGAGAAGGAAATAGAAATGAAAGGACAGTATGTCAGGGGGAAAAAGGGGAATGAAAAAATAGGGTCAAAGATAGATAGAGAATACAATACAATAATTGTGAAAATGAAAAAGAGTGCACATTGAAAGGTTTTGAGAGGATAGATAAAATAATGCTAGTGTTCAATAACTGCTATAAACGCAACAAAACCCTTTTCTCAGTCTTTTAGCTCTGGTTGTTTTACAGGTTTTTAGGTCATATTACATGAAGAGAGGGCTGATAAAAACTTAAAACCTGAGGGACATTTGCAGTGACAGAAGTTGAACCAGTTTGTCTATCTAACTTTGTGTCTGTGCTTTTCAAAGAGTCCCGCAGTTGACTTTTGTATGTGCCCATGCCTGTCTGTTTAAATGCATTTCACTGTTTAAAACTAAAATTAATGTGCATTTTCCAAATTCAGAAAGAAGTTTAAACCTAAAATTAGTGTACATCGATACCCAATTATTAGGACTGTAAATCTAGCCGACATTTATCATAGTTTTAAAAAATGAGGCTATTTTGGATTTAGCTATTGTTACTTTGTTTTCATAAGGATTCACACATTCAAACCTTGTCAGAATGTTAGGGAGACATATGTCTAATTTCGTTCTTGTTGATACAAGTTTCAACACCCTTTGACCACAAAATTAGCATCTAGGTTTTTTTTTTTTTTTACTTTTTCCACTGTACAACAAAGACAACACTAATGTCACTGCAAACACTACAAAGTTTGTTTAGTGTCTGCATGGCAAAGACTCAAAAATGGGTTGGGAAGCTCATGCAAACATCTTTTAATGTCTTACTTAGTTAGAGGATGAAAATGCTCTTCTGTGTTTATATGGCTACTGTCTCATTAAGACATGACAAAGTCTTTTTACTCAGTATTTTTGTCTTGTTTTCCAGGAACAATATCGAAACATCCTTAAAGCAAGATACATTTTCTTGAAGCTAAATGAAACAAGATATAAAGGCTTTTTTTTTCAGAGAAATCAAACTCAAATTTAGTGAGATGAAGATAAATATTTTGCCAAAGGGGTAAGAAAATAATAATAAAATGATTTTTAAAACTAATAAAAGTGTTTTTTATTCAAGTTTAATTGGAATATATTTGTTTTTGTTTTCTTAAACCTCTTAAAACCTTAAAATTATTATTATTATTATTTTATAATTTATATAATATGCTACTCAAATACATTTATCTTGTTTTAAGGGTGTATAGATATTTATAAATACATATCTTTTTCTTACTCAAAAATACTGAGTAAACAAAAGATTGTTCTCAGTGAGATTCTAGATACAAAACTGAAGCTTCTTTCAGTCATCGTCATTCTCTTTTGCAGGGATATGATAATGTTATTTGAGAGTGTATAATGTTATTTAGCTGAATAGACGCATCAAATGTCTTTTTGCTTCGAGAATCTTTGTATGTGACTATCAAAGCTCGGCCTTGTCCATTCTTACACCCAGGGTAAAGTATATGTTTGTTTTAAACATGCTGATATTATAAGTCTCTGAGGATTTTGCTGTGTGCATATGACAATGTATGTGTTTTACCAGTTCTTCAGAGGCATCCGAGGGATGTGTGCTTGTGTCTCATGCAACTTGGCAGAATTGCTTCAAGGTGAGTTCCTTTGATCCTTTACAGTTGTTTACTATCACGTGTCATCATCATATTTTCATCTCAGTCACAGCTGAATAAACGTTCTCCCTCAGGTATGGCGTTGAGCCGCCTGCGTTGGTCAAGCTTGAGAGAGAGATTGAGAAAGAGGAAGATGAGTCTCTGTCACCATCCATGTTCTTTGCCTCACCTCTACCGTCTCCCTCCACCCCACCAGTTTTTTTCCCTCCTGATCTAGAGCCCCCTGCAATCTCAACCCCCTCATTCATCTCTCCTCCTTCCCCTCCTCTGGCCTCTACCCCTCCCCCAGAGTCCACGTCCATCTTCTCTGACTCAAACACCCAGTCAGAACCTCAGCAAACTTTACCAACTACACCATCACCCACCAGAACACCCGTCAAATCAAAGCCACCCTCTCCGACAAACGGCCTTGCAAAGACTAATGGGAAAAAGAGCAGCGGTAACCTGCTGGATGAGATTGTGAGTACTTTCAGGGTCATATACTGTATGCGATTTCCCAATCCTGAGACTTCATGCTCATTATCAAAAGCATGTCTTTGTTGCTTTGTTTCAGGTGAGGGAGATATCAGAGGATCCACCATGCAAATGTCCAGTCAAATACTGCATTGAGAAGCAGCCAAAAGGCCATTATCGTGTCGGAGACAAAGTTCTCTATGTCAGGGTATGTACCATGTACTGCTCTTTCCACCACAATTGTTACTCAATATTTTATTATTGCAGGTTTCCATTTATTTGTGTGGAAGGATATGAAGCGATATGAAAACTCATGTCTCATTATTTGTTATAAGCATCTACATGCCAACAAGCTTTGCTGTGCTTTCACTGTTTCTTTAGAAGCACAAAAGAACACAAATATAAATAAAATGCTCAGTCAAACTGAAAATACACAGAATTTAGATTATATTAAAACTCAAAATGCCTAAAAGGTCACGTATGGTATTGAGTATATGGTATTGGACAATGCATCTAAATCCTTCAGGGAACAGTTGAATTCTTAACAGACTTGTCACTTTGTTAATTTGGGGTCATATACAAACTCATTACATGCTTAATTAAACATTTTGGAATACACTTACTGTATGTAACACTGTCACATTAATAGCCATCAATACATCAAGCTGTTTGTGAATGTAAATGAGAACTTCCCTTGCTTTTGTCATTTTGAAATGTATCTAGCAATATGAAGTTATGTCATGAAACTCTGGATGGCGCTGGCTAATAGGTCCTTAACTCAATCTGCTTGCAATCACATCATTCTCTATAGGGCGCAGCTGATTGGTTCCTGCTGTATAAGTAGCCAATGAGCTGCTGCTCAACCTTACTTGGTCAGAATTTGCTGTAGCATTTGCAGCGCGCTTTAAGAATCCCTCCACCTTCCCCAGCTCCACCTGTATGGATCTGCTACGGGTAATTCATGTATGCTATATTATACAGCAGCTGCATGTCTTACTTGCTCACAGCAGTGTATCGGTGTATGTATTGGCACTGGCAGTAGCAAGTCCCGTACTTGTTTTGCAGCAGCATAGCAGATCTATTCCGCCAAGACCAAACATCATATCCATTGTCATATCCATTACCACCATGCCAAATACTCAGAGAGTTGTCATGACAGATCTTACTTTATTCCTAGAAACACAAACCAAACATTGAAATCTACTTTTAAATATCAAGTTAAAAACTTGTGTATAAGTCTCTCAACTGGAGGGGAGAATTGAAAGAAATCTTTTTTTCATTTTCTCCAATGATACTATTCAACAACCAATAATTGACACTCTGGGGTCATTTGAAGCAACAAGAGACAAGTTACTTAGAAGGTACTGTTGTTAGACTATAGATCTGCACTTTTTTGTTTGCAAAAGTTGCCATAAAAGTAGAATTAATTTATACGTTGGTTACTGATCGAGTGATTAGTAGCGTGATTGTATTCAGAGACTTAAAGCCTTCGCTCCACCACTCCCTTTTATGATTTTTCAATCAGAAAAATCCTTCAGGGCAGCAGTATGTGTGGCAGAGGAAGAAAAGCAGCTGCTTTCTGTCAGAGATCCAATTAGAGAGAGAGGCTTACTGTAGCACTCAAAGAGAAAGGGAGCTTTTAATATCATTTCTCAACCTTCTTTTCAGTGGAAGGGAGTGGGACATGCTTTTTTTTTGTGACATCCTGGGCTAAAATAAAAGAGAAGGAATATCCATTAGATCATCACAATGGCTGAGCTGTGTAACGGAAGGGGTGAAGAATCGGTGAATCATTAAGAAATACGATTCGTGCCATGTCTGTCATTAATGGGTTCATGAATACTTCTCTCTTTAGATCTGGCTGGAAAGCATAATGCCATTTATAAATAAAGCCAATAAACAATAAAGCCAATCTTATCTTATCTTATTTAAACACAGACTGTTGAAAACTGTTTACCTTTATCTGGCAAAACTCTCCTTTCACGGACACCTCATTTAAATGAACATGGCTAACACATCCTCACAGCCTTTTAGCACTTTTTGTACGTTTGTGTATTTTTGCTATATATGTTCCACTAAGTTTATATTGCTTCGCGATCTGTTCAGTAATTAAGGACATATTCATTATTCATTCTTTTTACATAAAAGGCAGATTAAGGGACAGATATGAATCTCATACAGGTGCGTCGAGGACAGAGGTAGACAGCAAAACAGCCCAGGCCCTGGTGGTCTTGTTTTTGTCTCTATAGCAGCTTGATGTGCTTTAAAGAGCTTTTCCAGTGTGTACAAATTACAGCTAATCTGTTGTTTTTTTTTTAAGTGGGTTACTACTGTTTGCAATCTCAGCCATTTCTTCTAGGCTACTATTGGCTACTTGTAAGCTGCACTTCACTAATATGTGTGTATAATATACAGCCCCATTTTAGAACACATACTAGCTATTTGAACTCTATCCTGGATTTGTACTCAATAGGCCTTTATCACAGTGCTCGTGTCGTCACTTCCAAAGGTGGTTCTGTTCAAACAAGGATATAAAAGCTACAATCTGCCATCTAGTGGTGCAGTGTATTAACAACAGCGCGGTCGCTCTCGTCTCTTTCCCATTCATTTTTCAGTGAAGAAAAAAAAAGACGAGCGAAAAAGACTAAAAATCAATTTCGCTGTCATTATATATGAGATGAGAGGCCTAAGGAGTGTTGTAAATGCGAATAATATGGAACGAGGTTGGAGTTTGACTTTGACCACACAAGCTTTCAGAATAGCATGTAAATTATTTGTAATGGAACACACTGTTCGTCCCACTCCATTCCATTTTTGCATCACCGAATTAATGCGTAGGGCCTTACATACATTTCATTCTGCACTGTCGTCGACTGTTTTTATTTACAGGTCACACGCGCTAGGTTTGACTGACGCGGGGTTTCCTTAAACAGACTCCCCCTCCTCCCTCGCGGCATTCTGTGTGTTTGTTAATTCCGCCTCGCCCTCACCTCTTCTGTCAACCCTGACATTTTAATCTGCTTGGGAACAGCTGAGACTGATCAAACCGCATGGTAATTAGAATTACCCTGCTTGGCAAACGTGCGCGCGCGTGAATAGGCTATATCCCTCTATTAGGATGCATCAAGCTAAAAGGGTTTGGAGGGGTGGGGGGTGCAAAACATATAAATCTGGTTGTATTACCAACCACTTAACAGCTTTGTAATGAGAGGGTCAAGACTGATAAGGTGGAGGGGAGGAGGAAATAGATGACTGTCGTGCCTCAAGGGACAGATAGAGACACGTTTCTCAGGAGACATGACCCTTACTAGTTTCAGTGCCTTAATTTCCTATTTCGTGTGTCTTGTTCATGCTCGGGAGCGGTTGCCGTGGCAGCGTGTGAGCTTCACGCCACGCGCCGTAGGTGTAGTAGGCTATGTCGGAAATGCCCGTGTGTGTGTGTGTGTGTGGATTTTTTTCTGCGATGGTGTTCAGCTGGTGCCGTGAGAGGTGGCGTTTCATTAGGCTTAATGAGATTTTGACTGCACACCACAGTCTCTCTCTCTCTCTCTCTCTCTCTTTCTCTCTCTCTCTCTCTCTCTCTCTCTCTCTCTCTCTCTCTCTCTCTCTCTCTCTCTCTCTCTCTCTCTCTCTCTCTCTCTCTCTCTCTCTCTCTCTCTCTCTCTCTCTCTCTCTCTCTCTCTCTCTCTCTCTCTCTCTCTCTCTCTCTCCGGATCATTTGCCTTTCATCGGATCTGTTGCTGTAGACTTTGAATATTTTATGAAGGAGGAGGGGGTATTAGGGAGATCGTTTTAAAGAAACACAGACACACACAGACAGCAGAAATGGCATTTGTTTTAAACACAAGTGTTTCTTGACTTTCGTCTAAAGGGGTTTGATACAAACTGATTTTTTTTTAGGAAGATCACATTAAATGCCATTAATGTGTAGATTTAAAAAAAAATGTTCCCCCCAATTTTCAATCTTAAACTAAAATTCCTAAAATATTAATTACATAATTTCAGTATTTGTTTTGTGGAAATTATTTATATAAATTAAAATAATAGGCTTCAAAAAACATTACTGTCCCGCAGCATGGCATCATTGTAATCACAATGAACAATCTTGCCCCTAATAAAGTTATTTAGAAGTTATACCGTAATTGTTAGCCAACAACAGTATCGGCGAGTAGTTTCAGATGTAATATGTGATGTGTGAAGAAACCAATAAAACACAATCAAGGTATAGGCTGTATGTTGTGAGCATTATATTTTATTGTGTGTCATTGCTAATAATTGTTAAGATATATAAATGCTAGGATTAAACTGAAAGACAATAGAGTTGGATATCGATAGAGTTCTATCACCACAATTTCCACGTTAGGAATGATAAACACAACACATGCTTTGAGATGTGTTGGAAATAACAGTGTGGTGAGAAAAAGACTGTATACCTACTAACTCTATTGGACATTGTAAGATGAGATTTTATTTTCAAAAAAAATTTACAGGGCTAAAAATGGCAATAATTGAAGAAACGTCAGTGAAATGGTTTTATTGAACAAATCATGTTTTCTCACTTTTACAGATGTTGAATGATAAACATGCCATGGTGCGTGTTGGTGGTGGATGGGAGACCTTTGGTACTTACTTATTAAAGCATGACCCGTGCAGGATGACCATGATCGCCCGGCCTGGAACCAAAACCTGCAAGCCTAGCGGCAGGTCCCCAGTCAAGAGAGAGCTGTCCCGGGACAGTTATATGGTCGTGGGTACTCACTCCCGCTTTAAGAAGTGATGTGACCTCAGTTAAATCAACAGCAGGCTGATTTAGTTTTTCTAGGAGGGAAGCAGCCCAGGTGGCTTGATCTTATATTTTAGGGCAGTGGTCCTGAGCCTTTTTGGTCATCATGACTCACAAATGTGTCACAGGTATGTTCTGATAGAATCACAGACAGCTTATCAACTATTCAGATGATGCAATATATTCAGCCCAAGGTATGCCAATGTTGCTTATTGATCAAAGGGGTGATGAACTGAGAAATCAAATTTTCCTTGAGCTTTTGACATCTAAGAGGTCATCAAACTATAAGAATATCCTGTAAGTTTCAGAACTGAAAACGTCCTTGTTAGTCCAATAAAAGCTTTTATTGACACCAGGTTCAGCAAACGACTCGTTTTTCAAAGTGGGGGAACTATGACGACAAAGAGGATAAAACACCACCCCCGCAGAAGAAGATAAACGCCTACTTCAACACGGCCGGTTTAGCCCCGCCCACCGATTCGAAACTCATTATAATATGCAAAACTGTTATCCACTCACAGCAGTGGGCGTTTACTTCCAAGTCTTCAATGCGAGACGCCCATAACAACCTAGCGTTTTTGAGCTAGGCTCAAAACTAGGGTAGAAAATAGCCTATTAGGCCTACTTATTAATTTTGATGTTTTTGAATGTAAAAACCAAGCGAACGTCATTAGTTGACCTCAGACAACAATATAAAACAATTAAAAAAGCCAGTTCATGACCCCTTTAATGATTATATTAATGAATTTCTGAGTTTTTGGAACATTCTGTTTGCTTTTGTATGATACACAATTTTGGTACTGGGCTTGGGTCACCATTTGAAGTCCAATGTAAAATCTGGCATGATGCAAAGGAATATTGACCTTTGTGGTCGTATACATCTTATAAACATCTGTTCTTTTTGTTCAAAGATATTAAGAATTTCTAAGACATTTTCAAAAGCATAAAGGGCGGGATCTCTAATATTCAATCATTAACTGGGAAGCCAATATTGATTTACTTTATTTTATTGTAACTTTTCATTTTGAATCGATTTATGGCTGTTATGCTGTATTCTGAAGTTTAAGTTTACAAAAACTTCTGTAATTTCTTTTGAATGAGGGTTTAAAATGAACTTGTTCCACAAAGATCCTCTAGGTGGTGCCCTATGTCAAGTGATGAGCTGTATTTCAGTACTATATAGAATTAAGGCAACATTAACTTTTTGTGTAGAAATTTGTTAGATTGTGAAAAGATAACAATGCAATATGGTAACACTTTACAATGAGGACCGATTAGTTAACGTTAGCAAATATTAACTTATGAGCAATACATTTGTTACAGTATTTATATTAACGTTAGTTAATAAAAATACAACTGTTCATTGTTAGTTCAGGTCTATTTAATAATATTAACAGATACAACTTTTGATTTTAATAATGTATTAGTAAATGCTGAAATTAACTAAGACTAACAAATGCTTTATAAATATGTTTTAAAAGTTAGTTCATGTTAACTAATCTATTTAACTAGTTAACAAATGAAACCTTATTGTAAAGTGTTACTGAAAGTATATTAAACCAGACTCACCTGCCCCATATACTTCCCTTCAGGATTATTATTATTAATTGTTTTACATAAGCGTGTACTCTTGTATGTGTACTCAGCAAGCCAAACTGATGCCCAGGCGGGACCATTACATTAAAAAGTATTTTAATTAAAAAACAATGAAATACAAATGAAAAGTACCTCTTGATGAAATGCTACTAACATTTTATTTCATAAAATAAAAGTCATTTTAAAAAAATTGACACAATCTAAATACACTGAAATTAATCAATATGACGGCATGCGAGGCAATGACACCTGTTTTCTCCTTATGAGGTGAACCAGTAAAACAGTTCATACCCAAAAAAAAAAAAAAAAAAAGTGGTGCTACTTCCACTGCCAAAGAAAATGGCAGCATTTGTACAAATGTCTTTCATATCTCCCCAGAAGTGACAAAACACCTGAAGCTGCTTTTATTTGAGAAGGATTTTTTTTTTTTTTTTTTTACACATTGGTCTTGTGCTCTTTTATATCCTCTCCAAAACATTCACATTTTCATATTTTCTAAGTGCCATTTATTACTTCTTTGCCACTTTGTTTCCAGTCAATACATGATCTGCAGTTCATCAGAAAGGTCACACTCAATAAAACACTCTCCTATCTACCTAAAGAGATTTGTTCTTTTGGCTTTGTTCATTTTATGTCTATGACATACATGTTTGTGCCAATCAGCTGTATAGCATTAAAGCACAACCATAAAGGTTCCCTCAAATGTTGTCATTTACAAACACATTCCAATTTCCCCAAATACGCACTCAGAATACCACAGTATTTGCCGTCTTACGTTAACTATTGCATTTACCTATCCCCACTGTGAATACCAACATTGGTATGTTACTCTCAAGAATTGATCTGGATTTTGTGGAGGGCTATGAGACTATGCATGTACATTTGACAAAGACATGTGCGGCATTGTTAAATGATTTATGATAACTGTGCTTTTCACAGTAGTGTCCTCAATAAATAATATCCATTGGTGAGAGAAGAATCAATATGAATTATTCATGATAGTGTGGAGACACACTCACTCTTAAAAAAGACATTACTATATTATTACTATATTAAAGCCTGTTGGGGTTGTTTAAAATATTGTTTGGTTGGAGTTGGTCGTACAAACATTACATGATGTAAACATTAATAGCTTGTTGTGTGTCATGTAGCTATTGCAGCAAACTAAACACCCCACTCCTGCAATCCATCATCTTGATTTAAATTCTGTACATTATGCTTTCGGTATTTAGACCCCATATATCACTTTTTGTGACTAAACATATAACACTGAAATCCTTTAGAAATCCTCAACTTGCATGTGGATCAAGAGCTTTAATTGTATCTTGACTATTCAACAACATTCAGTCGTGGTTGGAAGGTGCGGAGCTCTTGTTTAACTGATTCTAAGCATGTTGTGCTTATAACAGCAATAAGGCTTCATGAGAAATGACGTTCAGAAATAACCTCTACAAACATTTTTGAAAACAAATTAGGTTCACATGCCATCAAGTAGTAAATTTGGTCAGATTCCTCAAAACAGCAATACCACAGACCAAGCCAGGTCACCGATCGTTACAATCATATAACAAAGAGAGAAAAGTCTCCATTTGTATCCGTAAGCGTAATTTCATACAAAGGTAGACCTGAAATCTAGACAAAATGAAGTATTTTTTACACGTCGTACAGACTCTTTGAGGCCTTAGGAAATGTGCTTTTCAAAGCTTGAATGACAGAAATACTTTTCTCTCTCCTTTCTGTTGCTCCCCACTTCATTCTGGGCTTTAACTCCTCCACACCATCAGTCAGCTATAAGAAAACCTGTGGATTCATTTGTTCTCTTGATGTCTTTGAAAAGATTTCTGTGCAGCTGTGAAATTGAAAAGAGAGCACCATTTTATTATGAATCCTCTTGGAGAGAAGACAGTCGCCTACAGCTCGCTTCTCTGTCATGAAGCAGAGCAGTGAAAAATGTCATTGGTTTTTGTGTGTGTGTGTGTGTGTGTGTGTCACAAAAGACCAGAGTGAGACATGTGAGGGGGTGGAAGATGCTCGGTGGTCTGTGCATGTGTCTCCATCTTGACTCTCAGCAGTGTCCAGACCATTTACAGATTTGAACCTTTTAATCAAATGGATGGTGTACACAAGTTGTGTTGACATCGGTGATCAACAAGAGCCCGTAAGTCATATGAAAATGATCCAGTCAGTAAAACGCATAATGATGAATAGGCCAGATGCTTTGTCCTTACGTAGACGCTGTATACATGTTGTGAAAATGTTGCTGCAACGTTTCTCCAGTAGTCTCTGCTCACACAGTCCCATTTTCGTGCCTGGACTTGTGGACTGTGGTGCGGGCCAAGGGGCTGCTTAAAGAAGGGGCCAGCGTACATAAGAAACCGGCAAGCAGGGTGAGACCCAGTCCGCCCCAGGCACAGAACATGGACCAGCCATACCCATGACTGATGTCCTCTGGAAGGCCGTAAAGGTAACGTGGGTAACGGGACAGCTCAAAGTTAATGCCCGCCACACACGTACAAAGGGAGATAATACAGCAGGTTCCTGTCAGAGAGGAAATTACTCAAGATGTATCATCAAACATTCATGAAACACACTTTCCTTTTAGATCACAAATATAGGATGCAAAGAGTTCATGCTTTTGATCTATCAAAGCACCTTTGTGTATTTACATAATGTTGTATGAGAAACCAGCCACTAGATGGCGACATAATTGAGCAGTCAAGTTACATTCCGTCACTTTTCTCTCTCTCTCTCTCTCTCTCTCTCTCTCTCTCTCTCTCTCTCTCTCTCTCTCTCTCTCTCTCTCTCTCTCTCTCTCTCTCTCGCACACACACAAACACTCTCTGTCTCTTACCGCCCATGAGGAAGAGTAGTCCAGCTACATACTGCATGAGATCATGTTGTTGACAGCATCCAAGAACTCCGATGATCCAGCCAAAAAGAATGATAGAGACAGCCATGCCCACAAAACCTGCTGTCATCCTCCGCAGATCTGCAGCACAAAACACAATCATCAAGACCCTTTTGTTGCTATTCGGGGCTTTATAAGCATCTAGTGATGCTTATACTGCATGTTCAATATTTACGTTTTGCTTTTATTTTATTCATCAAGGACTTTTTATTATATACATTCATAGTATATAGGCCTACTACAAAGGTAATAATGAAACTAATACAATTGCATCAAGAAAGCAACCAATTCCTACGATGCTATTATTATACCCATAAAAAAAAATGTAATAAAAATATGGCCATACAGGGCCAGTTAAATTATTGATTCGCAACACGAAGAGGGAAATAATATAATCCATGATAAAAGATCAGTTTACTCTACTGTGCATATTATTTCATATTATTAAATCGTATCTTGAACAAACTATTCACTCATTTAAAAATAACATTTCTTATTAATATCACAGTTGAAAACAGTTGCTGCTGCTTAATATTTTTGTAAAAACCGTGATACTTTTTTTTTCAGGATTCTTTGATGAATTGGAGGTTCAAAATAACAGCGTTTGTTTGAAATATATATATCTTTTTTAACATTATAAATGTCTTTACTGTCACTTTAATGGATCCTTGCTGAATAAAAGTATTTATTTAAAAAAAGGGTAGCCTAACACTTTAGTTTAGAGTCCAATTCTCACTATTAACTTGTTATTCCTAGGATATTGGCTGTTTATTAGTACATATAAACCACATATTTAAACCATGCCTTATTCTGCATGACCATATTCTACATCCTTAAATCCTACCCAATAATACCTAAACTTAACAACTACCTTAACTATTAATAAGCAGTAATTAGGAGTTGTTGAGGCAAAAGTTGGAGTTAATAGTTAGTTAATAGTGAGAACAGGACCCTAGTCTAAAGTGTGACCAAAAAAAGGTTAAATCAGTAAATCTAAAAAGGAGGGAAATATTCCCATCAGTGAATATTCTGTATTTGTCAGTACAGGCTGGCAGGCAGTATAAAATGTTTGACCTTTTTGGTGAAATAATGAATCTTTTTTTAGTGCTTTAATGTGCTTTCATTTAAAGTAAACGATATAAGATGTCTTGGAGCATTACAAAGTATCATCCATGCATTCATTCTCCAAACCATTAATCCTCTAGTGTCACAAAAAAGTATCATATTTTATGAACATATTGCTACAACTGGGGATTAGAGAAGGATCAGTTACAATCCCTTTATAAGTAAAAAGTGTACACAGTTTCACAAATATTGTCTTTAAACATGCACATCACAGACAGAATTGTTTATGAATTAATGAACTGATCAACCCCACAGGCATGAATTTTGTATGTCTGACACAAGTAAAAAAGCATCAGTCAGACTCACGCAGAGCATGCCACTCATCTTGTCGGATGGTCTTGGTGATATTGACGGGAAGGTTTCGAGGCAGGATTGAAGAGGTGTAATGATACTTTACAGGGGTGCATCTCTGAATCAAACCTATTTGAACAAAACAGTGAATCAAGAAGTATACTCTTTCATGACATTTACAGCATTTACTGTTTAGGAAAAGCAAATCAGTCCGAGGCTTTAATCTCCTGAGGAACAGCAGGTCTGTTGTGATCAGAAAATGCAACAAAGCGGCCCATGCTTGTATCACTTTAATTAAAACATTTCCTGTAGAGCAATTAGGCACACGTGATCAAATGCGCAGGGTCATAAATGTCATAGTTACATATTGATTTTATTTTCATGTAAAAAAAAAAAAACCTACTTCATTCAGTTGTAGAATTTTAATACTATAAACCCCTCGGTATTTAAGAATACCTGAACTGCAATGACAATCACTGATGTCTGTGAAATATAGCAAAACTGCTATTTTTGAAGGGAAGAGTTATGTTATATGGATAGTCATTCCTAAACAGTAGCATGTATACCATTGCAAATTATTTGTATTAAAAAAAAGATAGTGTGAGACACACATTTGTTTGGCACTGTAAGGACTTGAATGTGTTGTGTATCAGACAAGATTGCCTTCCTCCCTGATGAGAAGCTTATGAATCCTGAACAGGCGAGTGTGTGAACCTTTTAGAATAATTAACTTGCACTTTATGAAGCCGAAACAGTCATTTTCATTCATAAGGTTTCCTTTGTCAGGACATAAAACAGACTTAATCTGGTAGAAATTCAAATCTTTATCAGAGAAACCTCAAATGTAACTCAGATAACATGAAATGTTGTGACTTTCACAGTTTGTTGTATTCTACCAATACATGTCAGTCCCCACAGGCTATGCAGCCAGGGTTTTTCAAGGTACAGTTTGTGTTCTTTTCACCCACATCAGCATTATTTTTAGCATTCCTCAAGCTGATGATTTGGTCTAGGATTGATTTGCATAAATCAGAGGAGGCTTTTATGTTCTATTCATAAGTGTTGCACAGTGCGTGGTGTGGTTTGGCACTCTTTCAGTTGTTAGACTAGGTGATGGTGATGCAAGATCTGGGGCCTCCTTTACAAAATGTTGCGTAGAAATCATCCTACACTTGATCTTACGATCATTTCACAAATGTATACCTATACGTTGTGATTCAGAGAACGAACGTACGCACAAAAAAACCCTGTGTACGCCTCTCATCCGAATGGGAAATGTATCTAAAATGATCTTGAAATTGTGCGCAGCTGAATAGTTTTAGATCTCTGCCTAATTAATGTCATTCGCATATAAAAGAGCACCAGTCAACGTCCAAATCCTTTACCTGAGAAGTGCTTCGATTTCCAAACACCTGCAGTACTCCGACTCTCTGGCACAAGGAAAAGTGTGTACGTCTGCTTTGACACTCACATGGCACTAAGCACTTTTCCACGTCAAAGACCATTTTGTATAAATATAAACGTTGGTGTGGATTTTAGCGTACGCACACTCTAAGTTCAAATCTGTGCATAAGCACGTTTTATAAATGAGGGCCACGGGGTGGTTTTCTGTTTGGATGACTCAATATCTCTTGATGTTTTAGCTGTGTTACAGTATATAGCTAGGTATATGATTGCATTTGCATCTTATGGAATCTTTCTCTGCCTGCATGCAATTTTATTTCAGACACCCAACATTAAAGTTTTGCTTTATTTTCACATGCATTTTCTATACATTGACACTTATGTAAAACCTTAACCTGACTTAATATTGGAAGTTAAAGGGGTAGTTCGCTCAAAGATGAAAAATGTGTCATCATTTACTCACCCTCAAGTTGTGTCTTTGTTCTGCTGAACACAAAGGAAGATATTTTGAAGATTGTTTGTAACCAAACAGTTGTGGGGCACCATTGACTTCCATAGTATTTTTTTCTCCATACTATGGAAGTCAAAATATCTTTCTTTGTGTTCAGCAGAAGAAAGAAACTCATACAGGTTACCCCCTTTAATTAAGTTTTAGAGCACAGAGTCAACAAAGCCAGAAAATGTTAAATGAATGTCAGCAATAAAACCAAAACGTACCTCTAAGCAATAATGACATTTCTCATGTAACCTGAAAAATATTGAGAAACTTCTGTTGGAAGCTAACCTAGGGTGATATTAAGCACAATAACAAATACTTTCATACAGCAGTGAAATATGACCTTGCTGCATCAAAAAGCCTAGTTTAGATGTTCTTTTTCTACCACAGAATGTGATTTTGTTCTGTCATAAACAACAATATAAAACACAAATGCTGCACAACTGGTTCACTAGATTCTCAGAGGATTCTCAGTCATCAGAACCATGTTGGGTCAAAGGGTGAGATAGACATATTCTGGATTAGACAAAACAAGAGATGAGAGGTGAAGTCAGGGATAGAGAGGACATGCTGCCATTTAATTAGTCTTTACAGAAATTAGACAGTTAAATTCATTAATCACATTGAGTTTGCTGCTATACAGATCTGTGATGAAATGACGAGTACAGACCTCATGCGTGAGCTGAGCAGATTGTGTCATGTTTATCATATCTATGTGTCAAATATATTGTGACAGCTTGTTCTATGTCACAATCCCAAACTGACACATCAAAGGAACCAGGAATCTCTTACAAAGACACTTTGCACATTCTGTTCATTTCTCTGCTGAAGAAAATGCATTTTTGTACTCTGAAAAACATGTCTGTGAAATCTGATGAAAGAGATTTCAATTCAATTGGTGAACCAAAGTTATAACAAAAGAAACAAAAATCAATAATCAATTTTTAGGATACAATTCAAATTTGCATAGCACATTTTATTAGCTTTTTATATGTATTGCTACTGAGAATTACAGTATTAAGCATGACATGTGATCTTGTCTTATTCAGTTTTTAAAACATTCTGACATGTTTCAAATATTTTACATTTGGTGTACTATAATGATTCGATTTAGTCGGAACTGTTCCAGTTCTCTAAATATCATTTTCAGTTTGGTGGATTAACAGTGCTCAGATATTTTTTAACCATTAGGACAAGTAAACATCTATAGTATATTTTACTGTTAGTATATTTAGAACCAATTATGTTAATTCTGCTCAGGAGAGTATCACTGACAATCAGGAACAATGTTTTGCCTGCTTTATCTGAACACAAAGATTACTGGGCTGACACCAGTTAATGAATAAACTGGACTATAAATCTGGAAGAAATGTTTTCCTGGGTGTTGGCTCAGTCGAACTGGAGTGGTTGCACACCATCACTACTTCATCATTCATGACATCTACAGAGCCACTTAGGGTGACCTGGGAAAATCAATGAACAAATTATTGATGAAGATATGGTCAAGTGAGCGGCGTTCCTTCTCTTTGCAACCCAGCAAGAGAAATGGCTGCTGTAAGAGCTCACACTTAATATTTAAGGCCTGAACATAAGGTGGAATGAGATCTTTATCAAAGAATAGGAGAGTGCTGTAAGCCTCTTATGAGATCAGTATTCATATGACGAGGAAAGTAAAACATGATAAATTTGCTTTAAGTTTAATCATCTTATGGATATTGTTATCTGGTAAACTATATAGTCTAGGCATTCTTTAACACGGTGTTATTAGGGAAGGTAATTTGTTTTACAAAACAAATACTTATGTTCACTAGTAGGCTACTACATTTATATGCCACAGTATATATATATATGACAATATATGTAAATATTGCCCATTTTGCTCTGTTTCTTAAAAAGCTACAATTCAAATTTGAAAAAGCTACCATACCTAAACCAAAAATGTGGTTTAGGTAGTTTGGCATAATCCCTTCTTTATTTAAATAGTTTTGTTTTAAAATATTATTACTAGGCCTCAATGTGACGTTTTCTACTCTAGGTTATCAAAGAAATTATCCTATAGCATATATCATCTCAGACATCCTTATTTATCACAGATCCTCATCATTTATTTTTAATACTTTTAATTTCATTTTTAGAATAATCATTTCAAAATGTTCTATATTCGTAATTTAAAATGTACAATTGTAATTGCTATATAAATACACGTATGCTCTGTGCAGCATTATGCAAATGCACCTTTTGGTGGTCTCTAAGCAGTTTCTGTTCCGCCTTTACAGATGGCACACACAGGTGTATAGGCTGAATTCAGCACCTCGGATAGCGACAGGGATCAGATTCAGGCCTTCCACATTTCCCCTTCACTGTTGACATCGCTTTACAACTAAACTTAATAAGGGAAGTGTCACTAAGCGAAGGCTAATGCCACGTAGGTACAGAGACAACGGGAAGAACCAGCCTATCCGAATGGCACTGATAACAGTCACTGGATGAACGTCCGCATCCGTTAGCTTCGAAACAAAACGGCCTGGACCGAGGCTCTAGTGCTTGACAAAGGCACCTCAAAACAGAAAGCAACTCACCTTTGTAAATGAGATCCTCGGTCTCCAGGTCAAACCCCTCGCGATGACACTTTTTCCACAGACCGGAGATCGTGGAGTTGAACTGGCGGCTGCAGTGAGACTCCATGGCCGTCGCCGATGCCGGAGCGTGCCGCTTCACGCGCGCCTCCGTCGCTTTCCTCTCATAACCCTTTGGAGGCATCTGGAGTGGCAAGTTGTGATTTGAGATGTAAATGTATCCGGGATCGTTCCGCTTGTTTGCGTAGTTCTTACAGCGCTCGCGGTGCCGCCGAGCATCCGTCTCGTACCAATAATCGGTGCAGATGGCCATGGCCAACAAGACCAGAGCGGAAAACGCCAAGAAAAGCCCCGCGCTGGTTAAAATCTTAATGGCGGCCATCTTCTCTGCTCGTTGGAGAGCCCAGACAGACGCTCGGTCCTCCCTCGGCAGCCGTTGTGAAAGCCAAAGCAAGAAAATACACCGAATCTCTAGCAGCTCTCGGACGCTGACATGACCAGGCTCGATTCCAGCTCGATGCGATCTATTGTTGCAGAGCGCCCGGCCAGATGTGCTGGTTTTTCACCATCTATTTTGATTTTGAGTTAAGGAAAGGGGGAGAGATGGGAAGAGGAGAGGCGATGCGAGAACCAGGAATGAGTGAGTGGTGGTTTGGTTTTGAGTGCAATGCTCTCTCTTTCCTCTTGGGCCTCAGCGAACTGAGTGAGAAGAGACCAATTAGGTGCACCGGGAACATGAGGAATAGTGATAAACATGAGAGGGTCATTTATTGATTACAAACTCCAGCACAGCATTACAGATGTAAACAGCTGTTCAAATATTTATTCAAGACTGTACTGTATCCTTTTTTTATCTCTCTTGCTCTCCTTGATGTTTACTAATAACTAATTATTGGGGAATTCCATGAAATGGATGCTTTTCATTTAAAAAAAAAAAAAAAAAAAGTGGCTAATTAAATTTCGTTAAACATTTCGTATAGGCTATAACTATGTTTTACAGTATGCTATAAAAAGTGAACATCTATAGCCTCTTAAATTCATCAGTTTACTGTAAAAATGATACAAAGAATTGCATTTATATATAAATGTCAATTTTTCAGGACACTGTATTTTAAAGATAATTTTGTAAAAATCCAAATAAGCTTTACAGATCTTTCTTATAAATGGTTTAAACAATGTTTTTCCTGATTGTTCAATGAACCATCCACAATTATTGCGCATGCACCTGTGGAACAATCCTTCACCCAAAAATGAAATTTCTGTCATTAATTACTCCTCCTCATGTCGTTCCAAACCGAGAGCTTTCTGACCCCCTATAGTCAACAACCACTTTGAAGGCCCAGAAAGCTAGTGAAGAATTTATATATATATATATTCAGCAATGTTTTTGTGTGGGGTCACACATCTTCTTGCACATTTCTTTATTTTTAAACACATTATTATAGCAAATATGGGGACAGGCCAAAAAGGCATCTTGTTGAAAGATCATTTTTAACTTAAATATCTTAAGAACTAATGCCTAACATAAATTATTATCTATTTATTTATTTTACAGATGAGTGAAAGACACAATTTCCCTTCTCAGAGTTAAATATTAGGCAACAGAAAATCCTTGTCATTTGAATTTGCTGGAATAAATTGAAATATTAGCACATTGAGAAAGTAAACAAACCGGAACAGAAAACTGCTCAATGGAAACTCTCAGAATGCAGCACTGTGTCCTGCCCACGTACGGTAGACTTTGTCTTCGGAAACATTCCCAACACCAGTAAAAAAAAAACACACAAAAAAACAACTTGGCCTACAAATCTTTACCCATATTATGAGAACTGAGAAAGTATTTGTGTTATTGTGCATATTAAAACACGTATTTAGCCTGAAATATCAAATATGATGCACAATTGGCCTTACACATCACATAGAGTGTGTGAAATGTCTTACTGTCTAACTTTTGCATCTGTCCTTTCAAGACTTTTTTTTTCTTCTAGTTTCTCCCCCACTCTTGTTATTTCGGCATTATTTTACTTCCCTGCTCCTCTCTTTCTCCCAATTTTCAACATGATCAGGTGTACTCAAATCTTTTATTAATATACTTGGTGGGAACTGTAGCAGCACTAACTTGCCACCTGTCATCCATGGAGGCGGCCCACAGAGAGGAGCTTCAGAAGCGTGGGAGGTTCAGGTCAAGATACAGGAGAATAAATCATGTTAGTACAAGCAGCCACGTTTTAGGTGCCCATCGGAAGCCGTTTTGAAGGACAAGGCATAAAGGCTTTCGAAAAAAATAAATGAAATAAAGTGGCACCTCATTGTCCAAAGTTCCAGGCAGTTTCCCACACACTGGGCTCTGTCAGGGCAGATGACAAAGGAAGACAACCCACAGGCTAGTCGTTATGGCAACGGTCCCTTGCCAAACAGACTGTGTTGAAATAGGAAAAGTGTGAACACAAAATCAATACCACCCCCTGATTCCCATATGACATTTCAGACCCCGACTGTGCAGAAAAATGTGCTTGTGGCACGCATCTTGGCATAGCCGACACCGTTGCAGAACTGCTACTTTGAACATACAGGTCTTGGAGTGGCAGGCAATTCAAGCCATTTGTGAGTATGACATCTCACATTGAAAAATGCAAAGACCTTGCAGAGACAAAATAGACTCCAAAGATGTGCAAATAAACTCCACACAGTTGTCAAGCCAAACTGCATCAGCATAGAACAGTAATGAAAAGTCAAAGCTCATGGATGGGTATAGCTTGCTAACGGTTAAACATGGAAGGGGATCCATAATAGAAAGGGTAGCCATCTTATAAGAGTCATTAAGCATAATAGTTCCTCCACATGGGCATAACAGCCAAGGGATAGCTGGTAATTCAGCAGGTCATGAGAAACCCATGCGCCCTCATGATTAAATGCATCTTCCGGAAGGTACTGCATATTCATTCTGAAAAGTCATTCTGATATGCAAACCAGAACTGCTAAATGTCATTTAGGATCCATTAACGATAATACAATAGAAAAGACCCGTTTCAATGCACTCAACATGCATCAATTCAATTGGTGGATATTTACCACAGACAGTTGTAACGACTGAGACAAATCAGACACAAGTATTTGTTATAGTTAACAAATAATATTTAAACTCACTCTGGGATCTGCGGTCCCATCCCCCCCAAAAGGGCAAGGTCTTAGTTACCATGACTATGATCAGATAAGTTGGTTTTATTGCTGTTAAAAATGTGACAAACATGTGTCAGCAATTTAGAAAAACCTAAAATAGAAAAAGCAGTTAATCGTTAAATGTTGATTAAAACATGGAAATGTTTCTTTTTTTTTTTGGTGACCTATCCCTTTAATTGACACAATAACATTTTTTGTGTTTCTATTCATTTGCAATGAATACGAGTAATTGGAAATTTCAATCATCCATTATTAAGTCTTAAACTGAATAGACATTTGGTTAGAAGGTTAGCAAATGATTGAGATTTAAACTGTCAGCTGAACTAACAAATACATTTCTAAAGAGTTTCTACAGTGCTGAATTGCAGTGGTGATTCTCCAAGTGAAAGCTGCACATAGTTCAATCATAAAAAAAAAAAAAGCCACAACAACAGGTTTAAATCAAACAGTAACATCTCTTTAATTCAACTATACAATGGGAGGACTCAAGTCTTAAAAGTTATACATTTTTCTTTCAACATGACATTGTTAATAGAATAAATATATATAATCTCTTTTCAAATATTTACATTTTGGCAAAGACCGTTCTGACCTGCCAAGTGATGCGTTCAGAACATTCTTTCAGTAACATTCCATGTACAAAACTGGCAAAACAGGCAATCCATTTATCAACTATTTCATTATCTTCTTTAAAATTTGATCGAAATGTATGAAATGGCACCAAGTCATTCGAGTAAAAGAACTGTCTGCTTATGAATCCGTCAATCCTCTAGACTAAATCACTCAAAATTCTGAATCGCTGTGCCAGGACCACAACGAACAGAAACTCAGAGAATTAAAATGAAAACGCAGCAATGTAGTGGCTATCAGGATATAATCAATAACAAGAGTAAATACTGTAAGAAAATAAGGCCTGTTGAGTATTTTCAAAAGTGTTTGACAGGAGTGTGTTCAATCATGTATGTGCAAGAGGAATATGTACTCATGCAAAGCGTGGATGTCTTGAGCAAATGTAGTGTGAAATGAGCTTAAATAGATGTAACTTCCACAGAATCATTTATAAAAGTGAAGCAGTATTAGCTTAAAAAAAAAAAAGCAATGATGGTGACCATCAAAAATCGGATTATGTAAGTGTATGTGCCTGTACACTGTTTCTTAATAAAGAATGTGTTTAAATACGGCACATGCAGTTTCACAACAGGTCAAGCAAATCACAGTGATGAAACCTACTACTGACAAAGGAAAGTAACAGGTTCTTCTTACTGAGCATAAGTCATTGACACCAGGCTGGAACATGATTATGAACAAGAATGCAAAATAAGAGCAGCTTAGATGGCGTATTTGAACCAAAACAACTACTGTTAATTCTGAGCACCGTTTGCACAAACCTGTATTTCCCTTCAGTTTCAGCTGGTGCCTATAAGGCATCATGAGTTAAGTCTGAATTTAATCTGGACACAGACGATTCCCGGTGTTTGAAGGATAAGGCTAAAATCACACCTGATTGTCAAGGCTGTTTCTTTATTTGGTCTTTCCTCACACAGTCTTTGGGGTGACAAAAATGTCTAAATTATTTAAAGCTGAAACACTGAAGTGAATAGTACATAAGTCAATGCTAGGTGGCACTCTAAACGTCCCTTGATAAAAGCAGTGCTCGCCTGTGGCTAGTCTATGATGACTGAGAGAAGAGCCATGACTGCAATCCCACAAAACAACAGCAGAACCTGCAAAAAGGAGTTCCTGTGGGAACAGGGGACATGGTCATGGACATTCAGTCATTTAGTATGTGAAGTATGAGAGGAATTTTACACATGGGAGGTTAAAAAAAGAAGTGGACCTTACCTAGGGTTGGTCTCCTCCAGCAGATCAGGTACCACATTGACCAAGGCGATGTAGATAAAGCCACCTGAGCTGAAGGGCAGAATCCAGGCTGTGGCATTCTCTATAAAGACACAAATGACCAGAATCAACACTGAAGAATATGTTTGATAAGGATATTATATTAAAGGGTTAGTTCACCCAAAAAATGAAAATTATGTCATTAATGACTCACCCTCATGTCGTTCCAAGCCCGTAAGACCTCCGTTCATCTTCGGAACACAGTTTAAGATATTTCAGATTTAGTCCGAGAGCTTTCTGTCCCTCCATTAAAAATGTATGTACGGTATACTGTCCTTGTCCAGAAAGGAAATAAAGACTTTCTCAAAGTGGTCCCTGTGACATCAGTGGGTTTGTTAGAATGTTTTGAAGCATCGAAAATACATTTTGGTCCAAAAATAACAAAAACTCCGACTTTATTCAGCATCGTATTCTCTTCCGGTTCTGTTGTCGAGCCGTGTTCAGTGACGCTGGTGACGTAAGACGCTGCTGACGTGTTATCTGGTGCGCCCGAGCTTCGTTTACAGTCTGAGGGAGACGCACCCTGTAAACAAAACAATCTTCGCAAACATGTCTAAGGATTTCGACACAGAGGAAGACTTGCATTTTTTTGCCCAGCCATATTTATTTGAACCCGAATACATGGAAAAACCAGATACACGTCAGCAGCGTCTTACGTCACCAGCGTCACTGAACGCGGATTGACAACAGAACCGGAAGACAATACAATGCTGAATAAAGTCGTAGTTTTTGTTATTTTTGGACCAAAATGTATTTTCGATGCTTCAAAACATTCTAACTAACCCACTGATGTCACATGGACTACTTTGATGATGTCTTTATTTCCTTTCTGGACAAGGACAGTATACAGTACATACATTTTCAATGGAGGGACAGAAAGCTCTCGGACTAAATCTAAAATATCTTAAACTGTGTTCCGAAGATGAACGGAGGTCTAACAGGCTTGGAACGACATGAGGGTGAGTCATTAATGACATAATTTTCATTTTTGGGTGAACTAAGCACACTGATCCACATATTAAGTTCAGAATGGCATGATCAAATGTTTATTTTGTGGAAAACCCAAAAAAAGACAATGATTTATTTATTTAGCATCAGTAGCTGCTAAAAATCATGTTAGGAATGGGACCAAACACTAGCCGCGTTTCCATTACCCTTCAAATTGCGCAAATTGAAATTGCGAATTGAAATTACGCTCAATGGAAACACGTCAATTTCGCAAAAACTCCCATTTATCGCAAAAAAGTTTTTACGCTCGCATGAGGAGGTTTTTCAGGCAATTCGAAAAAGGAATATTTCGCAAAACTGCAATGGAAACAGTTTTTGCGCATTTACAGTCACCTGACTTAGAAGACGCGGTGTGTTTGGGGTCCGTCCGTGGTATACGCAAATAATAATGGGCTAATAATTATCATCATTATTATAACATTTATTAGGCTACATATTTAGAAGATGCTTTTATCCAAAAAAAGGAACAAAGCAATTCGTCAAATGTCATTCATAATGGTTAGACAAAATAAAATAGTAATAAATAATAAAATAAAACAATCATGCGCGCTTTCATGATCTCCGTGAAAAAAGCTAAAGCTTGAAATGTCCACTTTAAAACGAACAAATTCGAATCGAAAGCTAATACCTTCTGATTATGTAATCCGTATGAATGGTGCATTTCTCTCTAAAGGTGCATTCGCGCGGCGCGCCTCAGCGGAGATGGAGATGTTTTTAGCCGACACTAATTTAGAAAACAATAGTTTATTAATAAAATTAAAATGCCTCGTTATTCTTTCAGACACATTTATTATCATTAGCCTATAACTCACCTAAATCACCTTTCTGTAGGCTGTGGTTCCAGAGACATAGGCCTAAATATGGCTCTTCTCATTCAGCACTGCGGGAAAAATATAATTTTCAGGTTCTAATTTGGCCTTAGAAAACCATTAAAATCTAAAAAAAAATTGTATTAAGTTGGGAATATTTTAAATGTTTAGTAAAGGGGCAAAAAGTCATAAACAAACATCTGAAATTTAGTCGATTTTTTTTTTTTCGCAGCATTTGTGTACAGTTTAAATTTAAAAAAAAAAATTGGTGTTCAACTTTGCATTTAAAAAACAACAACCACCGTTCATTTTTCGTTTTGCAATACGGGTTAAATAAGGAAAAACGAATGGACACAAATGTACACTGACCGTTTGGACAGAGTTCTTTATTAAATTCATAAAAGAAACAATAGGCTACAGGAATACTGGATTCTAAACCTCAAAGAAATGCCACAATCAGACCTCGGAGCAGAAATGAGGGAGAAACACCCAGAAACTCCTTATGCCGTTCGCAGTATACGGGTCTTTCCCTGCCATTAATGCTTGGATAACACACCACGTCTCCTTCTATTAATAATAATGTCTAGTGTGGTGGTGCGGTGGCTGTGATATAGGGATATAGGCTATAAACCTACCCGTTGATGTTTAAATGACTTATCGCGAGAGGGGAAAAAGTCGCATAACATCAGTTAATGGAAACGCCGTCATTTCGCAATAGTTTTTTATCGACATTTAGAAAAAATCGCAAAAGTTTTGCGCAAATCTGTAATGGAAACGCGCCTACTGACTTCAGAAGAAAGATGATCCACTCAAGATCAAAGATAAACTACCATCCAAAAGTTTGGGGTAGGTAAGATTTTTCGATAAGACGTTACAAAAATAAAAAAACGACTCTAATTGACCCCAAACTTTTGATTGGTAGTGCATATAACGTATAGTCTGAGACTACGAGATGTCTCACCTGCCCCATGCTGTGATTGGGAGCAAAGAGCAAAACACGCCCCCAGGACTCCTCCTAATGCTGTAGAGAGCTGCATACGGGTGGCTTTCCAACGGTCAAAGCCTGCTCGCAGCAAAATGGCAAAATCGCCCACCTTTCCATCAAGACAGAAATGCATGTACAGCAACAGAAACTGGTAAGTACTGAGACAATTCATGTACAGTAACAGTTGGAATGACGAATGAGTATAAATTATTATCGATCAGCTAAAAATTAAATTCATTGCTTCCTTATAAAATTACTTGGCTGAAACTCAAGAGACTCAAGATATTGAGATACGTACCTCATGAGGGATCTCATGAAGCAAAATAGCGAACGTTGTTAAGAAACCAACCTGTTAGGACAGGTAAAGTAAGACATTGTAAAGTTCTCAGAATAAACAAATCATTTGGTAAGCTAAGCCCTTGTTTTCTAATAGAAGCATGGCAGGGCAGTGAAGCCATATTATGTTTCGTAATTTGGCACATATGTTTAACTGAAATGTCAACAGAAGCTATGGGGGAGGTAGAGAAAACCATAAAATGGCACAGTTCTCCATCAGTACTCTTCCTTGCATTTATGCAGCCAAATATGTATGTCCAGGCCAGTGAGCAAATGTGTAAAAGTGTGTTTTTATGTGCAAGTATGTTGCACCAAGTCCATTTCCTCTGAAACTCCCTCCCCACGCATGCTGGGAGCCTTATGCTTCTCCACCTGGACTTCAACTACACATAAGCCATATAAATACTGCTGCACTATAAATATTACCACACATCACAAACATCTCTATCTCACGGTTTGCAATGGTCCAAAAGAATCATGGGAGAAACTTCTTAAATGCTTTAAAGTAGAAGTTTTAAAATGCTTAAAAGTAGCCAAAGCATACTATATTTATACAGTAACTGAATCTATTTATATAACAGTCATCCTTGCTAGACAGTAGTACTGCCAAATCACTTTTATATGGAATTGGTCTGTTTGCGCTTACCTTTCGGCTTACTAAGAAGCTTCCTGCCACTGCCAGCCCATGAGTGAAGTTATCAATGCAGTTAGCAAGAAGGTTTAGGTAACCACTTGTCTGAAGAAATAAAGAAACATTGCATATACAGTAAATGGAAGAGAAAGATAATAGATAAGACACTTCAAATTCTGTATGATTGGTTAGAAGGAAACAGTCCCAGATTTAGATGTACTTGTCTCTAATAATCTAATGACCACTTAGACCTTTTATTGTGCACAAGGCATGATTAGTGTGTGCATCTTACCTTTATTTTCTCTGGCTCTGTGTAAGGGCTGATGTCAGTCTTTGGCTTGGAGTCGGAGTTGTTGTTTGAGCAGATGCCATTTGTTTGTGGGGACACAGAGACCTCGGTGCTCGTGTCTGTTGAAGAGGACTAATGTGGGGAGAGAAAACACCACAATAAGCCATTTTAATCTGGGACCATTTCTCAGCATTCAAGAGCAAAAAGACAATTTCCCCACCTTCAAATAAACCTGGGATTTAAAAACCGTTCAAAAGAAATCAATTCTTATATTCAGCATGGATGTATTAAATTGATCAAAAGTGACATTTCTTGATAAGAAATGTTACTTGAGCAGGAAATCAGCATAATAGAATGATTTCTGAATGATCATGTGATACTGAAGTAAAGCCTGGAGTAATGATGATGAAAATTCAGCTTTACCATTATAGGAAAAAAATTACATTTTAAAATTACTCTTACTGTATTTTGATCAAATCAGCCTTGGCAAACATAAGAGACTTGTATCAAAAACATTAAAGAAATTGTCTTTTTTCTTCAACAATTTTACTCCCAATGCTGCCTGTTTGTCTGCTCCATTACAAGGACACTGCTATAAACATTTTCCATTCATTTTTATTAACTGAGGAAAATATCGAACTTGTCTCTGGGAATGCACAGCACTCTGTACATAGATATTAAGCTGTAAATGACTAGAAGTAATCCTTTAATTCTCAAATTAAACAGACTAAATCCTCAGCAGACAGATAACACTCAGTTTAGCTCCATTTCAACCGAACATTAGCTCAAAGCCTAAAAATCTAAGTATTTCAGTTGTCAAAATTCTTTCCACATCGGTTTTTTGAGACAGTACTTGGCTGGCTGGCAAAAGCTGACTGTGAGAAAAGAATCGGTCTCTACAGCAACGAGCCTTTCAGAATGTAATAACAGAACTTGACGCTTCCTCCCTGTTCTAGCCTCTCAGCTGTGGTTTCTGTGCACCGTGGCAGACTTCTGTGGCCCGTCTGTCTGCTGATGGAATGCTGGTGGCAGCTGCTTCCTGCTAGACACTATTTATAGCTACCTAAACAGAGCAGAGGCTATCAATCAAACTCACAGGTCTCCCATAAGCTAGACAGAAGACTCAGACGTAGACATTTACAAACAGATAAAAGTCACAATCCAAGTCAAATGAAAAGTTATAATTAAGGTCAGGCAGAGAGTGGGTGAAAAATGGACATCTACATTAGCTCCTCTGTTTTGTGTGATTTGAGTGACCAAGGCACCCAAGACTCCCTCTAAAAAAAAGTGAGAGTTGATCCATCCAAGCACATTTCTTTTGTTGCACATGCAGTGCACAAAGCTTCAATGGTGCAGCCCTGACACCAAATCAAAATCCACAAAATTAGAAAAAGGGACCAGACAAAAAGAAACAAACATGGAGGTGGAAAGATGGACACTATCACTTGATTTTTAAATGGGTGTTTATTTGTCGACAAAGCAAGCCATGTCATGTCTACACTTGAAAGTAAGCAGAACAAATATGTTATTCATTTGTCTTAGGAAGCATCTAAGAGCCGATATTTTAAGGCCTTAAGCTGTTATATCCCTTGGGGTGGAGCCCGCAAAGTAAAAAGGTGTGTGTGTATGTGTGTTTTTAACTGGCACTAATGCAATATACTGAAATGAGCCCAGAATAAAGAGGTTTGGGTTCTTCTTGAATGCCAGGAATGGTCCTGTTGGTATTTGAATAGGACATGAATTGGGATTTTGAATATCTGTCTGACATGAACAGTAATTCATGATTCAAGACTCCACAACATTTGCTTCAAAGGACTAGACTATTGATGATAAAATGTTTTAAAGGCATAGTTTTCCAATGAGATTCCCATTCCAAAGAAAAATAATGTATATCCATCTGACACAAACAGTGATTCATGATTCAAGACTCCACAACATTCCTATAGCATCAATTATTCAGTCAGGACTATTGCTTCCCTAAGTGTGCTCACCAAAACATTTTAATCTTTAAAATAACACATTTAAACAATAATTATTTATATAAGAACTGGTAAAAGCTAATAGCAGTTGGCATTAAGAGCTAAAATGAACCAGAGAGAAGCTCAGACTCAGGTTTGTCCAAACATTCAAAGTCTGTCAAGCTTTTCCCAGAGACTCGAAGATATAAATATTTGTCAGAACATAATGGTTTTAACACTTGGCACAAAGCCGACACTACAAACTATCACTTCTTTTTTAGCCAGTCCTCAAACGGAAAATGTGCCAGTATATATATATATATTTTAATAGTTGTACTTGTGACTTTTGTAGTTAAATAAGGAAAAAAAATAAAAAAAATAAAAATAAATAAATAAATAATAAAACAGAATTATAAATATTCCAACTGTATGTGATTGTTTACTACATGATGCTTGGTGGAGTTTGAATGGATGCATAATAAATGTCTGCGATTCTGTTGAGTGCATAACTCCACCATCGTTCTTTTGGCTCCCCCATGAGGTTCAGAATTGCAATGTTCCACTTCCAATTAAACGGATTCAAAGTGCTGAAATATGTAGTGTATAAACTATGGCCATATAGCATGCATGGAACTACATTATAGGCTAAAAGGTTGTTAAATAGTTAAAAATGGCAGGTGAGGAAATGAAGTGACAGGGCAAAAGCACATGTAACTTACTTTGGCTTTTTGGCAGGCAGCTCTGCTCTCTGGGCCACTGTCTTCATCAGGGAACATCTTCTCCAAGATCAGAAAAGACATCAGACCCCCTATCACCCACAAACCCTGCGTACGATAGTGTCTGTGGGACCCATCTATCAGCACACACAAAAAGGGGAGAGAAAGAGACATTTTCCTTTTCTATATAAATCTAAGAAGAATGAAAAATTCAACTTCACTGAGCTTCATCTATTAACTAAAACTATTAAAAAGCATTTAAGTAATTGAATAAATAAATAAATACACAGATGAAAAACTTAAACTTAAGTTAATACATTTAAGTAGTAACATTACAAAAAAATAAAATAAAAATTGAAAAATATATTAAATCTAACATATATAAAATTATACAATTTTCTATAAAGTGTAAAAAACTATAATTTAAATAAAAAAACTGAAAATATTAAAAATATTAATATTATTCTATAAAAGTATACTCTGAACACTAAAAAAACAACAACAAAGCGAATCAATGGCTCTGCCTTAAACTGTAGGCTATAGTACCAATCCTGCCTTTACTCAATATTTGACAAGCTTTTGGTCTTATCCATTTATTGAATATTTATATCTAGTTTATTGAAGTTCTGTGTTTCTCTATTTTTAATCATGGGAAGCTGTGAATTGCACTGTGTGAGCCTTGAATCCTAAAAAATAAAGACATAAGATCAATAAGGGCACTAATACTTGCTTCAAAGTAAATGTTACTTAGTGCCATTTTTCCATATCGATCCCAGTACCAAAGTGAATATAAGAGACCGAGCCAGAGTTACCAAGGGGACGGGGTTTAGTTAAGGGTCAATTACTGGACTAGACTATTGATTGTAAAATTTTAAAAATGCATAGTTCCCTAAGAGATTCCCATTCCAAAGACAGTGAAAGAGAAAGAGCACACAGAGGATGATTAATGCATGCCATGAACAACAGCAAATGTTTTATATAATGTGAGATTTCTCACCAGGACTGGAAGTGTAAGCCCAGGCTTCAGGAAGGAGGTGGAGAAACACGTCTCCTAGGAGACCACCAATGGCAAAACTCAGCAGCTTCTTCAACTTCTGACACCCAGCTGCAATCAGAGTGAAAGCATCAGCGCCACTTCATAAACATGACAAGAAATGCTTGATGTGCATCTTGCTGTGTTAACCAAACTGAGCAAATCCTTCACACATAGCAGATGGCAGACAAAGAAACCTCTAAACGGTTGCACAATCATTCTACAAACTCTTACATATCTTTAACAATTATTGTGTTTTTCCATTCAGCTTAGGTTTTGAAGCTGCAAGGCTGTAATAAGCTAGTTTTGCAATCCTAAAGTGTGGGAATATAACAGGCCTAAAATACAGTATCTCACAAAAAAAACCTCACATTTCAGCAAACACTCAAGGGACAATACTGTATAGTATAAATGAAACTTGGAAAGATTTTAGAGTAGTCAATGTGCTGCTTGTATAGCAGTATATATTTACTGTCCTCTGAAAATAACTCAACATACAGCCATTATTGTCAAAATAGCTGGCAACAAAAGTGAGTTCACCCTAAGTGACGTTGTCAAAACTGTGTCCAAAGTGTCAATATTTTGTGTGAGCACCATTGTTATCTAGCCCTGCCTTAATCCTCCTGGGCATGGATTTCATCAGAGCTGCACAGGTTGTTGCTGGGATCCTCTTCCACTCCTCCATAATGACATCACGGAGCTGCTGGCTGTTAGACACATGGCGCCTCTCCACCTCCCGCCTGAGGACGCTCCACAGGTGCTCAATAGGGTTCAGGTCTGGAGACATGGCCACTCCATCACCTTCATCTTAAGCTTCCTCAGCAAGGCAGTTATCATCTTGGCGGTGTGTTTGGGGTCGTTATCATGCCGTTCGGCCCAGTTTATAAAGGGAGGGCATCATGTTCTGCTTCAGAATGTCACAGTACATGTTGGAATCCATGTTTTCCTCAATGAAGCGCAGCTCCCCAGTACCAGCAGCAGTCATGCAGCCCCAGACCAGGATGCTACCACCACCATGCTTGACTGTAGGCAAGACACAATGTTCTTGGTACTCCTCACCAGGGGGCGTCACCACACATGCTGGACAACATCTGACCCAAACAAGTTTATCTAAGTCTCATCAGGCCACAGGATATGGTTCCAGTAATTCATGCTCTTGGACAGGTTGCTTTCAGCAAACTGTTTGCAGGCTTTCTTCTGAGCCAGCTTCAGAAGAGCCTTCCTTCTGGGACGACGGCCATGCAAACCGACTTGTTGCAGTGTGCGGCGTATGGTCTGAGCACTGACAAGCTGACCTTCTGCTTCTGCAACCTCTAAAGCAATGCTGGCAGCACTCATGCGTCTGTTTTTTGAAGCCAGCTTCTGACACACAGCACGAGGACTCAACTTCTTTGATTGACCCTTGCGAGGCCTGTTCCAAGTGGAACTCGTCTTGGAAAACCTCTGTATGACCCTGGCCTGTACTGTAACTCAGCTTCAGGGTGTTACCAATCTTCTTATAGCCTAGGTCAACCTTGTGGAGAGCAACAATTCTAATTCGCAAATCCTTTGAGAGTTCTTTGCCATGAGGTGCCATGTTGAACATCCAGTGGTCAGTATGAGAGAATTGTACTCGAGCACAAATTGTAACTGCTCTAATACAAGATACACAAATTTGTATGGTCCTGTCAAGCAGACAAAAACATGAAAATGATAAATAGGACATGTGGCTTTGCATGGTTAAACGACGTACAGCTATTATCACTTAGGGTGTACTCACTTTTGTTGCCAGCTATTTTGACAATAATGACAGTAAATATATACTGCTATACTAGCAGCAGATTGACTACTTTAAAATATATCCAAGTTTCATTTCTATAATATTGTCCCTTGAGAAGATATACTAAAATGTTTGCTGAAATGTGAGGGGTGTACTCACTTTCGTGAGATACTGTATCTAACGCCATTATTCACCACTGCTTTGAGAATCATGTGGTGAGTCTCTGTGGTACAGTAACAGGACACACCTAAATTGCTTATAATTCCACCTAACCCTCTACTGTCCTGCCCACTGCACCCTACACTGGTAGGTCAGAACAGAGTCAGACCTTCTCTTAAGCCGGTCTACTTCCTGAGTGGGATCCACTGCCAGACTCTGATCTATTTCTGCATGACTGATATCATCACAGACAAAAGTTTCACTGCAGCATTGCCCACTGCAAAGGTCTTTAGAGACCAACGGGTTACTGTGCATTTTCACCATATGTTTTCACCATTTTCACCATATACATACACCATATGTTACTGTGCATTTTCTATTATGGTTCTGTTGGCTCTTCTCTTGAACGTCCACTACATCAAGAATTATTTGGACAAGCCATGACAGGTGTAGCTGAAGATGTGATTGCTCAACAAATTCTTTTCAAGGTCAAGCATGCTCACACAACATTTTTCTCAGTGTCGGTTGGATATTCTCTCTGCAAGATTTATATCATATAATGAATACAGTGGCAAATTCTGACTTTTGTTCTCAGAATCAAGAGATATAAACTCGCAATTGCAAGTTATAAAGTCAGAATCACGAGATATAAACTCGTAATTGCGAGAAAAAAGTCAGAATTGTCAGATATAAACTCACAATTCTGAGAGAAAATGGTTTATTCTGTGGTGGAAACAAGCTTCCATGGGTAACTGAGTAAGCTATGAAATATTTTAGCTTTGCTTACACATCGTCAGCTAACTAAGAGTGGGAACTGTAGTATAACCAGGAGGATGAACCTGTATTATTTCAAATAAAATAAAACAAATAACACACAAACAAAAACAAAAATGAAATAAACACTTCTTTTTACAGATTAATTTCAGGATTGGACTTGATGCCATAGTAGGTCTCCTTTAAAACATTTTTTATATTATAAATGGGGCTTATTTAATGGCTGGGAAATTACTTTAACATGGTACGAAAAACAAAAGACTGTGGAACCGGTCAAAAGCAGCAAAGGGAAAAATCCCACAGAGAACATGATCTTGAATTAAAAGGAGGAAGTGCCACAAAAGCCTTGCCTTATATTAACCAGACAACTGTGTGAAGACCTGCATCAATCTACAAGCCGATTCTCTCTTGCTTGTATTAATAACAAACACATGCCCGTTTGTCACACTAGGCCTGATGTGTGACCAGAATCATCTCATTTTTTCCATTCTGCTCACAAATTATAGATGACCTGCACAGGGCAAGAAAAGAACACCTTTTCAACCTAAAGGAAGGAACAAAGAAAAGACACACAAATACAGATCCCGGTCCATTAGTCAGCACCGGGACACAGCTGCGAATATCTGGATCAGCTCTGACTGTAACACAATCAACCTGACCTGGTTAGTATGTAACCTGATTCTAGATTAGTTGTTACAATGAGCTGGTTACATACAAAGGCCTAGATCACAAATAGCATGCGAGCATATATATGTGACAGACTTACCCTCAGTTTTTAAAGTTGTTCCAGCTTCAATGGGTATCACTAAAAGCGGAAAGATACCACTGAGTCCAATGGCAATCGATCCCAAGAGGGAGCAGAACCAAACATCTAGGTTGTCAACGGAGAACAGCTCATCCAGGTATTGGAGGTCTAGAAGGTCCTTAATGCTCCAAGGTAATGGTCCTGGTCCTGGTCCTGCAGCTGCAGTCTTTGCCTGGGCCACAGCGGTCTGAGCCATCATCTTCCCGCCGAAGGATAACGCCAGTAGGGCGGCACCAAGGAGCAGCACAGCAAATGCCCAGACGGGCCTCTGGGGTCCTGCGCTCATCAGCCCAGACCTCCGCAATGCACGTGGAAGAAACATGTAGGGTGCTGTAAGGAATAGAGGAGCCTTCAAACAGAATTTCATGAAGTGGAAAGATTAGTTTTAATAAGGTTCTGGGTTTCTTAGTCCCGAATGAAATCAACATTGTATATAACGCAGTTATTTTTTCATATCAGTGTTTGAGCAACTTTGAGTTGCAATTTAACAAGAGTGTCACAAGCAGGAATATGTACTATTCTGTATACACTACAGTTCAAAGTTTGGGGTCAGTAAGATTAAGATTAAATTAATACTATTATTCAGCAAGGCCACATTAAATTGATCAAATGTGACAGTAACACTATAATGCTCTTGTTTTTGAACTTAAAAAAAAAAAAAGACAGTTCCCACAAAAAGTGTAAGCAGCACAAGCACACTTGTTCAACGTTGATGAGAAACGCACAAAATCAGCATATTAGAATATTTTCTGAAATATAATGAAATAGAAAAGTTATTTTCAATTTACTCGATTTTAATCAAATAAATGCATTACAAAGTGAGCATAAGATACTGCTTTCAAAACTCTTCTAGACCCTAAACTTTTTGAACGGTTGAGCGAAATCTGTGAAATTATTACCATTACCATGTTTTAAAATATTAAAGATATTTTATTCATAATTCAAAAACTGCAATTCTAAAAAGCCATTTGAATATGGAAGTCATGGTGAATTGGCCCTTTGGCTTTACCTACAAATTGAAATGTCTGGATATGGTGACTAAGTGCCTCCACTTCTATCCACATCCCAAAAAAACACAGTAAACAGAAGACACCACATAAAAAGACAGACGTTCAAAAAGACCAAGGCCATGTGAGTCATAGCCCACACAAAACACCACACATTTTAGGGAGTTACTGTCAACACAGGGAAATAATCTATAGGCTAGAAATTAAAAAATTAAAACATGATAGATCGTATAATGCATTAGAGCCCGGCCTAACACAATATCTTCCAACAGTAACCGCATCTAAACAGCATCACCAAAGAATAATGAAGCTAAATGAGTACAGCTGTCTCCAGCAGGTGATCTTTATACAATTCTGAAACTTAACATAAGAGTTTAAATGCCCTTTATTATGTAGTATATGCAAAAACAAAATAAAACAATAAATTTAAGTTTAATGACACCAATAATGCACGTTATGGGTGGACAAAAATGCTGTACAATCAGTATGCTAACATTCACACAGGAGCAGCACGCTTAGACGGTCTGTGGACGTGCACGAGTTCAGGGAGCGGTGAGATTCCCGAGAAATTCCAGACCGTTTTCCGACCGTTTTCACTCTATAGTTTGCAAAGTTTCAGCGTTTCGTTCCTAAACTAATTAAAACAGCAAAGAATGCCCGAATGCAAAACCAGCAGTGTTTATCTGATACTTATTGGCAAATTATGAACAAAAATTCACAAAACCCAACGTTGCTGCAATATATTGTTTCCGATAAAAGCAACTGTCCTCGCAAACTACCTCGATACAAAGTTGCGTGCCTTGAAAAATAATCACTGCCTACCAGATTTGCAGCGATAAATAAAAACGTTTTATCTTACCCTGCTGAAATTCCTACAGTTTTGACTCCGGGTTGACCCTGCCATCCAGGCACTGCTGAGTAGAAGAGATGGAGCACTACAGCAGACTCCCGAATTCTCTGCTGAAAGATTTTCCACTCTCAGCCACGTCTCACCGACCGGAAGTGCATTTCCAGACTGCGCTCGCGCACTAACCGGGGGAGGAGACTAAACGCCAAACGTGGAGAACCTGCTAAAAGATGATTGTTTAACCCCCAGCAGTTTCAATGGCAAAAGGTAAAAACTATATATATATATTTTTAACGTTCATCCGTTTTGAGTTTGGAAGATGGACTCCTTAAAAAAAAAAAAAAAATCCCCTATATCATGTCATGAATTCTTAGTATTTAACATGCATACCCATCCATCCGTCCGTCCGTCTGTCTGTCTATCTATCTATTTCTTGAAAAGTTTTTTCATTAAGATGTTTTACAGCCTCGTCAAAGAGTGTCTCACTTCAGCAGACACCCAGCACAGCTGTACGAACCACTGTGGAACATCAGATGTTTTAATATGAAGATCCATATACCAACCACACTGATGCAAATTACAGTTTTCTATATGTTGCTTTGATGATAAACCAGGTGATGGCTCCTCTATTAGGACTGGAGCCAAGAGAAGAGATGATTTATTGGGGAGGATGAGTGAACTATGATTAAAAATGACCTAATGAATGCTCATTGGCTGAGCAAAGTTGGCAGCGAGGTGTAAGAAACTGTATAAAAGTGAAGGTCTTGACTGAGGTTGTTAGATGTTCTGTTAGATGTTCTGCAGGGATCTCGCCTTTATTGTCTACACCAATAGCCTAAGTTTTTAGCATCTGGAACTCCGTGACTTTGTGACTCTCTGATTTCTTAAAAAATGAGAAGACTTTTTCCTTTATCTACGTCTTTAAATTTTATGGAGAAAGTGCCTTTTCTAATTCCCGCCCCACTGTCAATTGTTGGACCAATCTAATAAAACTAATTTCAAATGTGCAAATAAGATTTAAATGGCTTCCACTGTACTTGGTCAAATAATCAGTCATTGCTGAATCACTTAACACAACACACACATAGCTTACATTCATAAAACATTAACAGTATCATCAACTCTTTCACTCAACAAGAGTATATATTCTTGAACGAATATATATATATATATATATATATATAGGCTATCTATCTATCTATCTATCTATCTATCTATCTATCTATCTATCTATCTATCTATCTATCTATCTATCTATCTATCTATCTATCTATCTATCGCATCATCTTGTCACGTACAATATCCACATGCATAAACACCTTTTAATTTGAAGTACTTTTATATTGGTATAAACTTTAAAACAAGGCCTTTCCAAAGTCTTGATGAACTTTTCTTTTTAAGGTCATCTTGGTATTGTTCCCTGAGTAGGTTTGGGACATATTTTGTTTAATGACTAATCAATCACTTTGGGAGTTTTGCATCTATGGACATCTCACATTTTTCATCTCTCCAGATGTCTGACTAAACTTGTGGTTATAATGCAACAATTGTTGAAGTAATTATGGTAATTTGTTACAATAAGAGGAAAGCAAAAATGAAGTGCACATTATGTTTTTATAGTTTGTAGTATCCTTAATGAACAGTCATGAAAAACAACGTGAGATTATGAGTTAGTGTTTGGAAACTAAACAAGTTAAGGTTGGAGTGGTGCAGTGGTTTTATAGTTAAAAAATGATGAATGGAAAGTGAAGATTGTTTTCTAGCTTTAATGTTGCTGAGGATTGTAGGCTTTTCTGTCAAATTCTGTCATGTATTCACTTTCATGTTGTTCTGAACATGTACAGTTTGAGTTTCGTTCTTCTGCAGAACACAAAAGAAAATATTTTGAAGAATAAATTATGATATAATGTATCCCACTCCTGACCACAAGATGGCGCGGTTGATTGAGGTGTATTGTCTGAAACACAGATAAATATTTAGCCTACCAGGCCATATTACCCCTGTGTTATTTCCAAAAGCATGTACAATTATCTACGCCCCACCGTCAATTGTTGGACCAATCTAATAAAACTAATTTCAAATGTGCAAATAAGATTTGAATGGCTTCCACTGTACTTTGTCAAATAATCAGTCATTGCTGAATCACTTAACACAACACACTAATAGCCTACATTTTATAAAACATTAACAGTATCATCAACTCTTTCACTCAACAAGAGTATCTATTCTTGAACGAATTTATATTCGTTCTAAATTTATTTTAGTCTATCTATCTATCTATCTATCTATCTATCTATCTATCTATCTATCTATCTATCTAGGGCAATGGTCTTTACTATTTTTTTCACGAGAGCCATACTGATTGGACAAAATCAGTCGGAGAGCCAATTTGACCGAAAAGTATCAAAAGTTACATCCAGTCATAAATACCATGTCTGCTTATCAATCTGTCATCCCTGAACATATGCATTGCAATAAATACAAAAGGGCGGCAAAAAACATTTACCAGTCAAATTTGTTCTGAGACAAGATGATTTCCCTCAATGACAAAAAAAGCAGGATTCCCAGAATATATTCATCCCAGAATATATTTAATGACCGTAAGTTATTTTTTTCTACATTAGCCCATCATGTATCTCTAACCATCCCGATTGATGAATCTGACTGTATTAGGCCTACTTTGTATGAACGCTAAACACGTGATCGGTTGATGTCACAAGCTTCAAATTGGAATACATTTTTTGACATGCCGCACTCTGCACAAATAGCCTATACGGAGTTTCCAGCTGTTTGCACATAATAACTATTCATTGGTTCTTTATTTGTTTTAAACAGCAGACTTAATATTTATCCATTTCTGTTCATAATTTGGAGACGGGCATGAACCGTTGTGCTGTGCTGCTTATATTTATCACGCAGTAAAAATACCCAGAACCAGTCGTCTGTGGATGAGAATCCGAAACAAGGACTGGTGGGACGTTGTCCTGCTCCGCTTCACGGACGCTGAGTGAATTTTAGAATGACTGGACACTCATTTATGACACTTTATTCAAGAACAGCTCCTTCAGCGCGGCATACGTCGTCCTTTCAGTTTCGGTTTTCAATCCGATCAAGATGTTCTCTCGATCGGATTAGAAAAGGAATAAACAACCCCTTTCAATCCGATCGAAATTATTTGTAATAGAGACTGACACTTTTAGTTTTTAATGGGTTATGTAAACTTATAGCCCTAGCCTACTTGTTTTTAATGTTTAAATATCGGTATTGACTGCATGATCATATCACCGTATTATTTACCGCCAAGCGAGCCACAAATTAAAGCTTGGCGAGCCGCAGGATAAGTAGCCTAACACTGATCTAGGGCAGTGGTTCTCAAACTTTTTTCGTCGGGCCCCCCTTTAAACCTAAAAAAAAACAAAAAAACGTGAAAGATAAAAAAAACGTGCAATGAAAAAACCCTGCAATAGTTTCGCTTTGTAATGTCATTATTTCATATAACAGTAAGAGAGAATTATAATACAGAAATTAACTTTTAAATATTTCAGTGATGCTTTGGATGAACTGAACTGACAATATATATAAGCGCAAATATGATTGCTTTTGACAGCGCCTCACATCACAAGCTCAGATTCTTGTTCGTCTTCTCACCGGAAAATTTCAAGAATAGATACTCTTGTTGAGTGAAAGAGTTGATGATATTGATACGCTCCCTCAAAACTTGCGACATCTGTGGCATTGTGCTGTGTGATAAAACGGCACATTTAAGAGTGGCCTTTTATTGTGGCCAGCCTAAGGCACACCTGTGCAATCATTAGGCTTGGGTATCGAGTATCGATTGGAACCGGGACTAGCTTTTCGATTTTCCCGGAATCGTTCAAAAGTTTAAATTTCGATTCCTAGTTTCGATTCACAGTCCGCCGACCGGACACGCCCGCGGTAGCAGAAGCGCGGCTGTCTGCTTTGCGAGTGGCAAAACGCATTTTCCAGCTGCACAGTGTGAGTGTCTGTGAGTGTCTGGCTCACTCATTGGCTGTGCTGCGGCAACTGCACATCCAATGGTGCGGGCGCCTCCAACGTGTGCGCCAATGAGCTAGCATTACATCATACACGTCAGAGCCCGCCAAGGGGGCGTGGCCCGACGCCCCCGAAAAAATAGCCATTATAGCAGCAGTTTACCACAGCTCGTTCGGAGCGATCAATGTCGGTTATATATACTGTAAAACTTCAATTAATGTTAATAATATTTGTTTCAATCACTGAATGAAGTCTGCTATATTTAGGACAAGAGTCGTGACCTTAAATTGCTTGCACAAAACTCTTGATCAGCACTCTACATTTGTTTATTGTTGTTCATTTAAACCGTTATGCGCAGAGAGCGTGAGGGCGAGAGAGAGAGAGAGCCTGCAGTTAAGCGAGAGTGAGGTCTGCGGTCTTGGCCGTTAGTTGATTCTTGTTTTTGTGTTAGTTAATACGTTGTCAAATATGTTTAAACTTAAAGTACCTATACAAGTAGTTATGTCTCTTTGTATTAATTTGTCCTATTATTGACGTAATGCGCGTCATTGACAAAATGCGCAACCAGATGTTCGAATAGTTCAATATATGTGGTTTCTTTAGAGGGAATATTCCAACGTCATTTTTGAGCAATCTTGACAGCCCTAGGTTAGCCCTTCAGTGGGAGCACGGTAACATGTTCAAGGATCTGCAGCATCATACACTCATGTGTAAATGTGTTTTCATGAGGTTTTCAAAAATAAAGCTCTCTTGAGGAAAGTGTACCCCTGTGAAAATATATTCATAATTTATAATATTTATATTCAAGTTCATAGATTTGATATTTATATTGTAGTTGAAAACAGCCCTGTGAGAAATTCATAGTAAAGTTCATAAAAAGTTAAAAGTTCATAGAATTAAAATTGATGGAGAAGGTCAGACTATTTCCTTCAGAAAGACTGTTGGTTAGCTAGCTCATTTAAAATATCCTTATCTTTTTTGACCCCGCCTCTTAAAAGAATCGGAATCGAGAATCGTTAGGAACCGGAATCAAAACAAGGAATCGGAATTGGAATCGTTCAAATTCAAACGATACCCAACCCTAGCAATCATCATGCTGTCTAGTCAGTAATCAGCATCTTGATACGGCACACCTGTGAGGCGGATGGATT